TGTCTCAAACAAAGCCCAAAGTAGTTTTGTCCCACCTCTCAGCGGCCCGGCATTTCAACCGGTCGGTTGGAGAGGGTGTCGGAATAATTCGCACCATTGCTTCTTCCTTGTGTACGCCATAGGGCCTTGGTGTAACCCCCCCCCCCCCCCCCCCCGGCCCGGCAGGACTTCGGAACCCAGGTCAAGCTATTCAGACGTTTGTCTGCAGGGGGCCGAGGCTTCATGCTTTTTGGAAGGTACGGTTTAGGGTTTAGGGTTTAGGGTTTAGGGGTTTAGGGTTTAGGGTTTAGGGTTTAGGGTTTAGGGTTTAGGGTTTAGGGGGTAGACCCTAATTCCTAACACCCTGATGTAGGAACCTGATTAAGAAACCCTTGCCCCATGTCCCCAATATATTAGGACTCATCTAAGGAACCCTAATAAAATCCCAAGGTTTCTTAATCAGGTTCCTATATTAAGCTGTATAAACTCTCAAGCCCTAAGCGCTGATGTAGGGTTTGGTTCGTGGACGCTGAGAGTAGTAACAAGTAGTAGCAATGATATTCGATCGGGATCTGAAAAGCTGTACTTGTCTGTACAAGGCCTGGATAGTATGACATGAAAGATTCGTTGTCATGCAGGCCGCAAGCCGTTGGCCCCACGTCCTAGTTAGTTGGGCTTGGGGTTTGTCTTGAGGTGCTGTGTGATTGAAATAACCTTGGAAGGCGCAAGTCTGTGTCTTGAGTAGGTACTGGGAGGGTCGCGGGACTTAGTAACTGGTTATTATAGGGACTTATAAGTACCATAACCCCAATTAGGGTCCCTTTTAGGGTACTTATAAGTCTACTTACTACCTACTTACTAAGTCCCCCGACTCTCCAAGTAGGTGGGAAGAGGGGGCGGTTTTCAGAGAAGAGAAAGCTCTGAATGCCTACGTACCACATGGGGGTTTCTGAAAGGGGACCGACCCTAAATAGTAGGATTCTTATAATAACGAACCCCAAAGTAAGGTACCCATAATTTTCGGAAACTCCCACATGAAAGTACCATCCAATCGGCAGCCACGGGCAAGATCCCACTCGTCCGAACTTGCAGACTCGCCATGCTACAGGGTTCTGATTCTACAAGGGTTCCATGTGGGCTTTCTTGGGCTCTCTGCGGTCGTTTAGAGCTGTAAGGTTTAGGGCTTTTACTGTTGTTGGGGTTAGAGTTCGAGTGTGGGAGTGTTCGAATGGGACAGTTTGAATGATTCTGCCTAGGATTTGGAGAGCGATCTGCCACAAGTCGGCAGCACGACAGCGATAACACACAGCTGCACAAATTCAACACAGTCTGCAGTCGCTGCAGCTGAGAACTTCATGAGAAAAAACCTTACTACACCCTAAACCCTAAACCCCTAAACCCTAAACCCCTAAACCCCTAAACCCGAAGCCCCTAACCCCTTAAGCCCCTAAACCCCTAAACCCCTAAACCCTGAACCCTAAATAGCTTTTCCAAGGAAGAACGCTCCCAGCTGCTGTCTTCGAGACGAAGCATCCAGGGCGAAGTTTCTCGGCCCCATTTTGCGTGTGCTTACTGTGCAATAACTACCCTAAGGCTCCTAAGAGGGTCTTGGGCTTTCTGAGGGTCCGGGATCTCACTACGAGGGCCCAGGAGCCTTAAGGTAGAGCATGCCTGGGGATCCAAAAACCTACCGTTTTAAGGTTTGTACCTTCTAATTAAGGGGTCATCACCTACTATTTTGTAAGGTTTGGGGATAGGGCTGGTTTTTGGTATATACTAGAGAATGCTCCGAGCAGCGAGCCCTCACACCGTTGTGGAATCAGAGGTCGAAATTGACGATGTGATTCCCTAGTGCATGGCTTCAGCTTGAAATGGTGGGGGGTTTGGGATGTTTGGGGCTAGAGGTCCAGGTCCCCAGCGAGCCCAATACTCCTTAATTAAGGAATATACCTTAAAATATAAGGGGGTTCATATTATGATTTAAGGTATATTCCTTAATTAAGTCGTATTGGGCTCTCCAGGTCCAGGTCCCGCGAACTCTGAACTCTGCACCCTAATGTGCTGAAAGCGGCTGTTCGGTTCAGGGCACCATGGACCGAATTTCTGCAGGGACTGCAGGGCGAAAGGTTTGTAATAGTTGCTCAAGAATTTACCCATACTATGTTGGGGTCTACTTATTCTGTTTATTGTATAATCTAGTTAATCTAATTATTAAGGCCTTCAGTATTGGGTAGTAGAGCCGAGTCAGCACTTGTTCGTTTCTTTTTTCCAGGACCGGAGCCGGATGCTCAAGACCCTAAACCCTGAACCCTAAATCCTAAACTCGTAAATCCTAGACCCTAAACCCTTATACCTGATAAACCCTAAACCCTAAACCCTAGACCCCTAAACCCTAAACCTTCATAAACCCTAAAACCCAAAACCCTAGAACGTATCCTTCTCAACCTCTAGCACGGCCCATCGCTCTTCCCTGAGAGAGAGACCTGTTTGGTTTCCGAAAATTAGGGTTTAGGGTTTAGGGGGGGTGCCATATTTTGGGGTCCTTATAACAAGGATCCTACTATTTAGGGTACTATATTGCTGTCCCCTGTTTTCGGAAACTCCCACATGAACCCTAGAGCCCTACCCTAAGGCTCTAAGGACTCCCATTTTAAGGCTGTTGGGCCTAAAAAGCATAACAATATAAGGCTTTTGAAACGTACCCAGAGGCCCCAAAGTAGTTCCTTTTTTTTTTTGGAGGGGGGGGGGGTCATATATAGAATCCTACAAGGTAATCCCAAAGAGGAACTACTTTGGGGCCTATGGGTAGAGCCCTAGAGTGCAGCCTACTTGGAGGATCATGAGACTTAGCAAGTAGGGGTATAAGTACCTTAATTGGTTATAAGTAGATATAACTTTAGTTACCTTACTTGTATAACCCTACTGACTAAGTCCCATGATCCTCTAGGTAGGAGGAGGAGGAGAAGGTGAGAATGCAAAAGGCTTCAGGCACTAGTCGGCCTGCGTCGCTTCGGAGCCGTCAGTAGAACGTGCTAGATCCACGATGGTGTTGGCTCTGGGTTCCCAATACAATACATGTTCGTTTTCAGCTGAAAAGGCGTATCAACATACGGACATCTTTCAACTAATCATGTCACTCAGGCTTCCTAAATTACTTTTCGTGCATGTTTTCTACACACCTACACCCCTATTCCAACTATTGAGGCCCCGATGTGAAACCCGTATACGTAGAACCCTTGCAGGAACAACTTTTTCTAGTGATCAAAATAGCCCAAAAGCCTTAATATATGGGTCCTTAGATCCCTAGGGTTTCTAGTCATCAGTGCGTCCAAGCTGCATGGCGACCTGACGCCCAGTGGCCTCATGAGGCATCGCCATGTGAAGTGGCCAAGAGACGCCGAACTCTACCACCCCACAACCTTCCTCAAGAAAGGGTAGGGGGGTAGAATTAAGGGTGTAGGGTTCAGGCGGACGCCCATGGAAACACAAACCCTTTCAAGCCCTAAACCCTCTTGCCTAAACCCTACAGGCTTTACTGCCCCAAAAGAACTAAACCCCCCATATAAACCCGCGAAGTCCTGAACCCCTGAATCCCTAAACCTTAGAGGCTCTCCATGTACCCATATGGTATATAAACTTAGGCCTTAATAACAAAGTACCCAAAAAGGGATCCCTTTACGGCTTAAGTATCTACTATAAAGGTACATGGAGCCGTAAACCCTAAACCCTTTTAGGAACCCTTATAGAACCCTGAAAATCAACATCACCACCATGTTGATCGTGTAAATTGGGATTCTCATCTAGAGTGTTTCCAGCCATGGTTGTAGTCGTACTAGTCCTCGACGTTCAAACGACAAGGGGGCGCAATCCGTCCATGGGCTTATGAGAAGCTTCACTCTTATTTCACACCGCAAACAAAGCGAGTTCAACTCTGCTTCACTTGTTTTAAACAAGTGTGGGCTTGCAGGTGTTACGCTCATGCATGCCCTCATCTGAAGTGGTCTCAGACCCTTTGAGCCTTCAAGGCTTCAGTTGAATTCTAGATTAACAGAAGTGGAACTGCTACCTCCCTACAGAGCTACGTGTAAGGAGGGAATTCTACACTCCTCCTTGACATTCTCTACCGGAAATGTCACATGATCAGAATCCCGACCTTGCTGCTGCAGTCAAACAATAACGACAAAACATCCGCCTGTTAGTACTAGAAACATTCCGCAAGGCATGACAGTCGGGAAACAAATGAATAGCTCCAGGAGTCCGGCTATTCGTAGTTATCAATTCAATGCTGCACATCTCCTCATGGGTTAGTCCACGTGGAAAATCAGTCTGTACAGCAATCTCCCTCCGAGTCGGTGGCATACTCAATCCCTGGGCTGGAGGCAGGACTCCCGGCGCAACTGGAGCGACAATAGGTGGTGGATTAGAGGACGAGGTGGAGCGTGTGGGCAAAGAGGATTCAACGATGAACCCCGGGTTTTGAGGCTGTGCAAACCTTGGAATTGGCGGTGGACTCTCTACGAGTCGCTCGCACCTAGCCTCTCCTACATTGACCTGGATCACCGGGCCAGGCACATCATGGTATGAAGTCGAGGTGTCATCATCACCATCTCGCCTTCTTCTTAAGCCTAAGCCTTGGACCTCAGAATCAATGGCCCTTCTCACCGCATCTTGCCTCCTTTGCCTTCTGGCACTCACCTCATCTTCATCCGCCCTCACCATATTGACTCTTAGTTCACTTCTACAACACCTTGCTATGCAGTACTTTCCCGTTTCCCACACAAACAAGGCTGAAAGCAGCATCATCACCGCCACAATGGACAACTCAAGGCTGAGAGGCTCTGAAGGTTCATCTGATTCCACACTAGCCTCTGATTCCATCATTTGCAAAACCAATATCAACAACAACATCTTCAACCTTGCACTTGTCAATTCTGGATTTGGCACTGGTGGTGACGCCCTACCAACCAAAGCTACTCTTGCCTCAGGCGGTTCAGGGCCTAAACCAACTAGCCAACTAAGGGTCAGGTGCCGCGGACCTGCAAGGATCTTGGTTAAAAGATCCGCTAATTGATATTCACCCGGACAGTGCTCGACCTCCAGGTCCTTGTTGTCTACCATCTCTTTCACGAAGTTCGACCGAACCCTAAGGTGCCTAGTTCTCATCGAACCAGAACCTTCAGCAAGAGAAATGGCAGCCAAGTTATCAACCAAAAGTAACTTAACTCCCAAATCCGTGGCAAGATCAGCGATCATCGCCTCTGTGCTCTGCGCCAAAACCACAGCTTCACAACCTGCGATCAACTCGCTCTCCGCAGTCGACAAGGATATAAGCGATTGACGCTTTGCCTTCCAAGTTATTGCCCTACCCAAAAACGTAACCAGTATACCCGAGACAGAGTGCGCTCCATAAGGGGAGAAGGACGCGTCGGAGTACACCACTATGCGTTTGGGGCCTATAACGGGTATCAAGGAAAGTTTAAAATCCATCGTCGTACCCAAGAAGTCAAGTAGTCGCAATCCAATTTTGACTACATAGCTTGGTGCTCTCGTGCACCAAGATCCCATCAAGGATACAGCAAAAGCCAGATCGACACGCGTTCGCTGAGTGAGCCATAGCAGCTCCCCTGTGATCTTTTGCGCTCTTCTCAGAGTATCAGCGTCATAATCACTTTCTTCTTCTGGCAGATCTCGCACCCATTCCCTCGGTAGGGGCGCACGACACCTTGGCTCAAGTTGATAGGACCTCAAGAGCTCTTCTATATAACCCTTCTGGCCAAGGAGGAACCCGGAATTCCCTTGACTATCATTGCCATAGGAAATTTCGACTCCCAGAAAGGTCACATGTGCTCCTTCAGTCGTGTTCTCCAAGGGAGTACACTGCCACACGCTTCTAAGCCAAGAATGTGCTAACCGTGCTTCCTCCGAGGTGGTGAGGAACATAATATCATCAACATACACAAGTGCGTAACCCACAAGTTCATCACCTTCATTCAGGATCTTCCACACGTTCCCTTCCACTGCAGATTGACATAAACGTGTGGGGCCCGTGGCGCCTTCCCAGGATGCATTACGCAACACACTATCCCGGTACTCAGCCCACCATCGAGGCGACTGCCTCAAGCCGTACACTGCCTTGCAGACTTCCCACAGTTCATTGGGCTCTGTAATGCCCATGGACTCCAGAACCTTGGGGGGACGCAAAAGGATTTTTCCATGCATGCCCTGCGGAAGCGGGGCCAGCAAGAAGGCGTTTTTAATATCTGTGATAAATGCATGGAACTCCCGAACTGCACATTCAATCAGAATTGTGCGCAGCACTTCCGAAGGCACACCTGAGGCATAAAGATCAAGGGACGGATCCTTATCTTCAAAATTCCCACAGCCTACCACCCGGCATTTCCTCCGAAACAAACTACCATCGCTTCCCGGTTTCACTGTGAAAACCGTCTTCGCCGGCAAAATCAAGGCATCCGGGTTGGCTGCTGCTCTCAAAGCCTCGGTCCCCTTGAGCCTCTTGATACCTTTCATTCCTTCTAAGGCACCAACTTCCGCCTTTGCTGACGGGTTCCAAGACTCTAAGTGCCTTTTAACCTCGGCTGGGGATACATTATGCACAACCTTTAAGGGAACCGAAAGGTTCTTCAGAAGGTCTTCAACATTGGGAGTGTAAAACGAATCGTCTATCTTACTCACCCCATAGGTAACCGGTGCGGTTTCGATAAGTGCCGCTACTGGGTTCACAATGGGCACCCCTATTCTTGCCGACGCCCTATTGTCAGAGGGTTTACTCCCTTCGGAACTCTCGGGTCCCTTACTAACAAGAGATCGGGCAACTTCAACACCATCATCTGGCGTGCTCACCATCATGCATCGATAGTTGGAAGAGGTATCATCCTCTGAGCTTTCAGGAGCGGAAGAGATGACTCCTCTAGCACGCTCCTCCTGAGACGAGGTGTGCTCACTGGATCCACACTCAAACTGGTTCCACAAATCTTGCATTTCAACGCAGTATTCTGCATAGTCTTCGTAAGTGCTAGGTCTCCACTCCTGGGGAGGTTCAATGAAGTGGGCGTTGGAGGTTGACTCCTCCTCATTACTTGCACAGTTGATGCCAGGCTGCGGTAGATCGTCCTCAGAGGCACGCCGCAAGTGGCTCGAAGAGGTGGCGGCTTCAGGCAACTCTAAAGCGAAAGGTTGCAATGGCCCCGGTTCATTGGGACGATCACAGTACTCGATCCACCTTTGCTCATTTCTACGCCGTTCCTCACTTACAATCCAATCACCCTCTTCAATTCGCTCTTCACCCCTAACTCCCAACCCGGGCACCGGAGGACCTGGACTATGGACACCCAAGGTTCTATTCTGGAATATCCAAGGGATCTTCCTCTGCAACCTATCAATGAGCTGCACCTCCCCTGTCGTCAGCGACGTCAGATTGGGAGGGTCTGGCCTCACCGTGCCAGCCGGGTGTATACCTCTCATTATCATCCTTGCTAGTAAGGGTGAAAGCCCAAATTCAACCAGATCCTCTTCATATAAAAATGGTAAATCACATGCCTCTTGAACACCAAGGGCATTCAGCCTTTGAAATGCCCCTTCTGCTCCTCTCTCAACGAGATATTCATACAAGTCAGTTTCTTCAAGATTCAAGGCAGGATCAATTCTTACACCATTGGTGGCAGCATCCCATCCAACGAGCGGGGTTACTGTATCTTCTTGCTCATCTTGACTAACACCATGCTCCGTCCTCGGAGTGACTGGTTCAAGTGGGGGTGGCCCTGAGTCTCCACTGGAAGAGCTATCACTACTCCCTTCAAGAGAATCACTTTGCACCATCCTCACACTTGGTAAATGGTCCTCCTTGGGGTTAAACCGGAAACCCAAGTCCCGCAAGTATCCTAATTCATCTTCAGGTATCTTGGCGGTACCCAGCGGAGTATAACCTACAATCAACCAATCGGGAGACTTATGCACCGAATGTGGTGTCCGGGCATCAAACTCCGTGACGCTTGTGGATAGGCTGTAAGTCATCGTGACCTTCTCTGCGCCTTGGGCATACCTTGCTGGAGTCGGGGGTTCAATTTTCAACAAAACTTCTCCTGGAATGCAGTGAACAAGGTTCTTTGATCCCCATTCGTTCCTCACATCCTTGTGCAGTCCTATTTCCGTTGCATGCAAGATCATCACTGCAGACCAACCGTCATGACCATCAGGGAGGTCATGCAACGCCCTACGCCTCAACAACTTGTTTAGGAACTTAGAGGTTCTTGGTAACCTCTTACACAAGTTTGTAACTCCCCTTTTTCCTCCATGGCAGAATGCCCCTAACACGTATCTACTTTCAACCTCCCCCCTTCTATCTACAGAGGGCCGCTCAGCCTCTTGCAAAGCTTGCGCAACCTGGCGAAAGGCGTCGTTCGAGTAATCCTCATCTAGAAGGAACCTTCCTGCCAACACCTCAACCGCCGGTTCCTTGCTATCATCACCATCAACGAATCTCACGCTGGATTTTGCACGCAATCTAAGTGATGGTGGCTTTAGGGGTGACGGTGGCCTTATGGGTGGTGGAAGTGGAGGTTCTTCTTCCACCTCCTCCTCCTGGACAATTGGGAGATCTAAACCTTCTAACTTATTCGGATCAATCGTCTCGGCCTTAAAACCCTTTGAAGCAACTAGATTGCCTGCTGCCGTGATCAATATGTGGCCCTTTGGTATGGTCCTGTGTGGTGCACCATACCTTGCCTCTATCCATCTTTCCATTAAGGCCTTCTTAGCATCCGCGGGCCTTTTGATCCTATGTAGGACAGGCTGAGCAAATGCCGGAGGAGGTGGCAAAGACAAGACGTCCATATTATGACGGTGGACCGCCCATCGCCCCGCAAGGGGCCACCACTGGGTGGGGAGTTTCGCACCTCCCAGCAACGTTCTGATTCTTGACTTTACCCAACCAACTGTCCTCTCGGCCAGTCCATTTCCTTTCTTATCAGTAGGCAGCGAATTGGAAACCGTTATTCCCTCTTCACTTAACCACCGCTGAAGGGCAGTGCTCGAGAATTCAGTTCCCGGGTCGTGGTGTACATTATGTACCGGAAATTCTTGCTTTATCCTTAAAATCATTTGCTGAACCGCCTCAGTGACCTCAGCCCCAGTCTTAGACCTCAGCGGAGTGAAGAACCTTAACACCACGTAATCCACTGGGGTACTGAGGTCCTTGACTAAATCCCTTAGGGCCTCCGGATCATCCGGAACATCAGATGTGGTTTCAAACAAGGAGGTTGCAACTCCCTCGGCTTCAATAGCACTCAACGCAGGCACATCCAGATCCCCTTCAAACAGCTCGGGAAACAACTCTGGCTCAACTTCGGAAGGCTTGCACTCCTCATACCTGACCTCATCCGGGACCTGACCGGTGCCGTCCTGTTGCATAGGCGATTCCTTAGCATTGCCGGGTTTCAACGAATCCTCTATTACAGACCTCGGCAGCCTGAAGGCCCCCACTAGGCCGTACCTTAAGGAGCACTTCCCAGTAACACAGGTCTCATCACGCCCTGCTTCATCCACAGGTACCGGGCCAAAGAGGTCTATAGACAAGGTGTACATTCGCGGATGCTTTATCTTAGAATGGAAAGCACCCAGCGCAGCGCCCTCCACGCATTGCTTGCAATCCCTGCGATATGGGACATGCCCGCTAAGTAGGTGACGTTTCCAACCTTCAAGATCGGCTTCGGACACCTCTTTAAACTCCTTGACCTCTGCGCTCTTAGACTCGGGTGAGCCTTCCTTCGCTTCCTCATCATAGTCGGCGTTTTCTGACTCCTCCTCAGAAGAAGAAATTACACTCTCTTGCTCAAACATTGCATTCAACCTTTCTTCCTCCAAATCATCCAAGTTCTGTTGCTCCTTTGCAAGGAGCTCGGCGCAGCTGGCTGAACGAATGATACTATCGAGTACCTCACACGATGCACCTGAATGGTTACCTGACAATGCCTGTGCGAGGCTCCTTCTTAAACCCTTTTGCCATCCTGGATCGAACTTACCGGTTGCCCCTTCTTCCGAGACATCAAGCTGGCCAAGAAACCCTAGATCCAAGTTTGACAACAAACACCTTGTTTTTAACGGTTTCCCACAGGATGTGGCCTGATTAAGGGTAGTCATCTTAGCACCCGACCATCCTAGGAAGGTCTGATAGTCCTTCCAGTCCTCGATTGGAACTTCCCTTACATAAGGCACAGCAGATCCACGGGCAACCGAAGCCAGCGACCACAGCACCTGGTCTTGGATATGCAAGGCTTCACTCCCAGGCCTTACAGACCTAGGGGGGGATGCGAGAACCGCGGCAATCCGTCCTGAGGCCGCTGCCCAGAGCAACACACGCCACACAGCATTCCCTTTGGTGAGGTCCCAGCCTCGTCCTCCCGGCTCATTCAAGTCAACATTCAGCAATGAAACATCATTCCTTTCGCACCACTGGAGAATGGGGTCATCGGGTTTCAGCCTTCCCGAGCACAGATGGACCATCCACCTCTTAGAGCTCAGCAAGGCTCTGCGCTTGGACCGTCTAAGAGGGAGTGCCTTAAGGAGCTGGCGACCCGAGACATCATCGCAACCCCCGAAATCCTCAGCTAACTTGGCAACTACTCCTTCCGAAACCTCTGCAAGGTAAGGTTGTGCAATTAAGGCCTGCAGGACCTCCTTCCTTGTGCCAGCTGCAATTGCCTTCCTCCAAGCCTCAGTGGGATCTAGGGGATTTCCTATAGACTCGATGCGGCACTCAAGGTTTTGCACTTCCTCACGGAAGGAGGCCAGCCTACGGGACTCTAGTTCCGCTATCAACCGAAGGGCTTGATCCTCTTGGACCATAGGGCAATTACTGCTGGATAGGCCGGTGTTCAAAACCCCCAGACTGGGATGAACCACTTTCAACCCCTTGCGGCGGGACCAACTAACCTTACAACCTAAAACCTCCACTAAGGAGCCAAGAGGTAGAATTGTCTGAGGCTTGGTTTCCTGTCGGACGCCCTGCGAAGGAGGGGGAACCACAAGCGTTCCTCCTGCGGTTCTCATCCAGTTCTGGCGAGAATCGCCGGCCAAAGTAACTGGTACAGTGTCCAGCTGACCCATTGACTGCTCGTACGGAACAACTGCGTGTGTCGCCCCACTATCCAGGAGCGCGAGTGCCTTGATCAACCTTTCATCAGTATCGCTATCAACCTGGAACATTGCGACCTTGCGTTCACACTCATGCATCCTGGCATTCAATCCCTGATGCTGCAATGCCTGCGACGTTGCAATCTCGTCGCTAGCTACTGCTACGGCCCTCACATCATGCTCCTGGGCTAAATTCCTTAAGGTCTCCAGCTGTGCCGAGAGAGAGGCTAAGGTCACCGGTGTTCCCTGGACAGTTGAAGAAGCTCCTGCTGGAGCTTGGTTAGGAGGACCGCTCATAGGAACAGCCTTCGCTGGAACCTGGGACGAGGGAGGACCATCCGTGGTCTCCGGCATTGCCTGCTGTAGAATCCGGGCAGCATCTGCTGGCATGCTCTTTATATGCTGCTTTCCATTGCCCGGCGGCACCACAGAGGAGTTGGCAGGAGGATGCTTGGGAGCTCCAGTGGGCTTTGGTGGCGCCTTAGGTTGACCCCTATCCCTATCGTCCTTCAAGCCTGCAGCGCATTCATTAGCCCTGTGGTTTTTGCTACCGCAGTTCTTACAACGAGCACCCTTCTCAGCGGCACTGAACGCTGCCCAGTTATGCTCGAAAGCGCAATCCTTTCCTTTCTTACACCCGTTTGCTTGGACGTAAAAGGTGCATGGAGCCTTGGTAGGCGGGCCCGGGTTTACTGCGGCACTCTTAGGTACCGGTGGGACCTTAGGCGGGTGCTTAGGTGGAACCCTTGACTCCTTTGGTCCCGGAGCGGAAGTCTCAGTCGGGACCTCTACACCCTTGACCTTAGGGGCCGGTGCAGTCTCACGGAGCCTGTCCTTGTTTTGGTCCTTAGAACCCCGGTGATTTATGGACTCAAGCTCACTCAGGATCCTTGCATAAAGCTTATGGACCTTCTCATTATCAGGGTTCATATCCACTTGGAGCTCGGCTCGACTCAAGGACACTCTGAAGCTCACTTCGGGGTATTGTTGTAAGACGGATCTCGATATGTGCGACAGAGCTCTGACTTGCAACGCACAGTCGGGTAACGACCCGCCTAGTTCTGTCATGCGCGCGCACCACCGCTTCCAGCGGCGCAGTATATCGATTGTGTCCTGGATACCCTGGCCTGCCGGTGGTTCCTGAATCTGCTTTAGGCCAAGTTCACGCTCGTTTAAACTGCCAGGCCCGTATATCACGAACAACTTGCAGAGCACTGGAAGTAGTCCGGACACGCGTGCCGAGCTTATTTCATCTTTCACCCCTGCTGGGGTAGCACTTATAATCATCGATTCCATTCGCCGGCATACTCTTTGCCAGCGCGGCTGGTTGAGCTCTGGGGATGGAACCGCTTTGGAGGCAATCCTGCTCATCGGGTCAAGCTTCAAGTAGGTTCCGTACCACGTTGTAGCCTCAGAGACGACCATGGACCAAAGCTCTTCTGAGTTGTCACTCACATCCGCCAATGCGGGTCTTACATTGTGAAGCCAGTCAGCGAATGCCAAGCAAGAGTCCGCACTCAACTCCGGAAGCGGAGGCAAAACCTGCACACCAGGCTTTATTACTTCTGCTTTAATCCCGGATTTAGGAGACCCCGCTATCTCAGCTACAACTCCTTGAAGCTGGGCCATCCCAGTCAACACCACGCTCAACGGGTCAAGCCCCTGAGAACCTCCTTGCGGCAAAGTGGCATTAGGTGACATAACTTGATCCTGTGATGGCATTGCATTTGACTGAGCAACACCAGGAGGCATGACCTGACCTTGTGGCTGAGCTGCACCTGAGGCATGACCTGACCTTGTGGCTGGGCTGCACCTGGAGGCATGACCTGACCTTGTGGCTGGGCTGCACCTAAAGGCATGACCTGACCTTGTGGCTGGACTGCACCTGGAGGCATGACCTGACCTTGTGGCTGGGCTGCACCTGGAGGCATGACCTGACCTTGTGGCTGGGCTGCACCTAAAGGCATGACCTGACCTTGTGGCTGGACTGCACCTGGAGGCATGACCTGACCTTGTGGCTGGGCTGCACCTGGAGGCATGACCTGACCTTGTGGCTGGGCTGCACCTAAAGGCATGACCTGACCTTGTGGCTGGACTGCACCTGGAGGCATGACCTGACCTTGTGGCTGGGCTGCACCTGGAGGCATGACCTGACCTTGTGGCTGGGCTGCACCTAAAGGCATGACCTGACCTTGTGGCTGGGCTGCACCTGGAGGCATGACCTGACCTTGTGGCTGGGCTGCACCTAAAGGCATGACCTGACCTTGTGGTTGGGCTGCACCTGGCGGCATGACCTGACCTTGTGGTTGGGCTGCACCTGGCGGCATGACCTGACCTTGTGGTTGGGCTGCACCTGGAGGCATGACCTGACCTTGTGGTTGGACTGCCATGGGTGGCATAGGTGGTTGAGAACGCCCTAAGTCCAAGGGGGCTTGAGAGGGAGTGGTCAAGTCCAAACCATGCGCCGGGGAACCCTGCGGCCTCAAATCCAATGCCCTTCCAGAACCCATAAGATTACCAATACCTCTACTTATCCACCCAAGTCCAGCAAAGCCTTGAGCTACCGACTCAGTTCGAGAAATCATTGACCTACCCTGTACATTGTCGAAGGCTCTGGTTCTCAACTCACTATTTTCAATGACCAAAGCCTCCACTTGCGCACGTAGCCTACGACCCTCCTCATCCCTAAGGGCCATCAGTTCAATCAACTGGCGTCTCACTTCTGCCTGTACGTCGCTCGAAGATACTGAAGGCGGATGTGGAGGTGGAGGCGTAGGCGAGTCCGAAGGATATATCAGCGGAGCCCTCGCCTGAAGGTGCTCCATTCTCATAAGCATTTCCTGATCCAGTAGAGGCGTCGTTGGAACCTGGCTTTCCGAAGGAGCTCTACCACCCTTGGGTCCACCACCAGAAGAAGTCACCGACGCGTACTCCACACTATCACGAAGCTCCGGCTGATACCCCACGCCAATCCCGCTCGTAGATTTCACAAAGCTTTCAACAGTTGTGGGTAGTGCTTGTACTGCCCTCATCATCCCAGAGAACACATTCGAAGGTGCCGGAGCCACATCCGCCGGGACGTCCAATGGACGCCCAACCGAAACACTAGTTCCACTTCCCACACCAACTTGTCCTTCTCGAGGCTGAAGAGGTCCGGTTGCTACGTCAGGGCTGCGCGTGGCCCTTTGACCCTCCATGACAGGTCCCGGCCAGTCTCCAAACCCAGGCTGATTTGTCCCAGGTCCGAAAACCGTTGGTACACCTCTCACTTCATCATCCAGGTCCAAACCACCACGCAGAACTGGCCTCACCCCGTTCACTACCGGAATTTGGCCTCCTGTCTCTTCACCAGCAACAGCAGTAACGTTTGGGCTACTCATAACCTGAAAATCAACATCACCACCATGTTGATCGTGTAAATTGGGATTCTCATCTAGAGTGTTTCCAGCCATGGTTGTAGTCGTACTAGTCCTCGACGTTCAAACGACAAGGGGGCGCAATCCGTCCATGGGCTTATGAGAAGCTTCACTCTTATTTCACACCGCAAACAAAGCGAGTTCAACTCTGCTTCACTTGTTTTAAACAAGTGTGGGCTTGCAGGTGTTACGCTCATGCATGCCCTCATCTGAAGTGGTCTCAGACCCTTTGAGCCTTCAAGGCTTCAGTTGAATTCTAGATTAACAGAAGTGGAACTGCTACCTCCCTACAGAGCTACGTGTAAGGAGGGAATTCTACAAACCCTTATAGGAACCCCTTAAACCCTAAACTCTTATAGGAACCCTTATAGAACCCTTATAGGAACCCCTTAAACCCTAAACCCTTATAGGAACCCTTATAGAACCCTTATAGGAACCCTTAAAGGAGCCCTTAAAGGAACCCAGACAGCCCATAGAGCCCTCAGCTTCGAGGAGAGCTCTGTCCAGCCGGACCATGGGCCACGAGCACCTCGACGGCCCTCGTATTTTGGGCTTCCCTTAACCCTGAACAACCTTTTTAGGGTTCCTTTTTATGATTTTCCTATATAAGTCCATAAAAATATAGGTTCTTCCGGGTTAAGGTCGGGTTTAGGGTGGTATTTGAGGGACTTAGTAGGGGTTTACGGGTTTAGGGTTAAGCGCTTCGGGTTAAGGGTTGAGGGTTCTGGGGTCCAGGTTGAGGGCTCTAGGGCTTCAGGGTTCAGGGCTCCGGGTTGAGGGTTCTAGAGGTTTAGGGTTGAGGGTTCTAGGGTTTTAGGTTTAGTTCAGTGTTTGGGGTTTGGGGTTTGGGCTGGGCGTATGGGATTCATGGAGTAGGGTTCCGTAAATTTTGTGAAGGGTTCCGTGAAGGCTTCCTTCTAGGGTTAGAGGCCTTAATGAGATTTGGGTTCCTTTCGGGTTGCTCTACACACGGATCCTTGAAGCTTTTGTTAAGGATTGCTTTAAGGATTCTTTAAACTTTCGTACAAGAGCTTTCAGGTTGAAGAAACAAATCGGCCCCACCCTATGTGGTCCTAGGGTTTGGGGTTGAGGTTTTTGGGGTGTAAGATTGAGGGTGTAGGGATGAGGGTTTTAGGTTTTAAGTGCGCATCAAGTCATTGGCGGCCGTTGGCCCAGCAGATCACGCCCTCAACGTGCGCCTAATCCCTATGCGCAATTTTCGACACGACCGGCACACTCCGAAATGTGGGGTTTAGGGTTTAGGGTTCAACCCCAGTTCGCCAAAGGTCCCCAAATAACCATAATTTAGAACAGCAGGCGAAGCCCCTGCACTGCGAGTCGCATGGGGCCCAACCTTCTAAAACATGCACAGCATGGTTTGCTTACTCCCCAACTCCCCAAAGGCTTGAAAGGTTCCTTCCTGTCAAGAATACGACTCTCATAAGAGCCCCAAAATAAGTAAGGCAACTATAGTTATATCTGCTTATAACCCCAATTGAGGTACTTATAACGCTACTTACTAAGTCCCATGATCCTCCAAGTAGGCTGCAATCCGAGCCCCTTTCTTTGTTCCTCTCCCGGAGGGCCTCCTAAGTGCTTAACATGGGGGGATACTTGCCCAAGCCAAGGAGCTAAAGGCTCAGGGGCTCTACGGTTGAACACTAAAGGTTAAGGGGGGTTTCGGCTTTCGAAGATTGTTGGGGTTGGTGGGGTCTTAATGTTTAGTCCTGCTGGCATCATGCACCCGCCACGGCATGGGGAAGCACAAACCTACCGTTCTAAGGGTTATGCCCTCTAGTTAAGGGGTCATAACCTACTATTTTGCAAGGTTGGGGGGATACAGGTAGTCCCTACTTTCTACGATGTAGAATCATAGTCCCTACTTGGAGGTTCGTGGGTAGTTTGAAGTAGGGTTATAAGTAGGGTAACTATACCTATAGCCCATATTAGGGGACTTATAACCCCACTTATATAACTACCCCTGAACCCCCCATGTGCTTTCTACTATGTGGGAGTTTCCGAAAATAGGGGACCCTTATATAGTACCCCAAATAGTAGGACCCTTATAATAAGGACCCCCAGATAAGGTACCCCTAATTTTCGGAAACTCCTATGTAGGTGCTTGGGACCCTTTGCGACTACATGAGGTGCCACTTGGTCGGCGTTCTGCTGGGAAGCTTTGCCCGGGACCTGGGACTGGGTGCTTGGGTCGAGCTTGTCGGCCCCATAACTTCCTCCTAGTAGCTGAGTGGATACACTTTACACTTTTTGGATTAGTGTTACCCACTATAAAACCAAAGGTGTGCACTGTTGAGGGGCTTATGAACTCAGCAACTAGGCATAACTTCCTGGGTTCCTGAACTAGACTGTATCGCTTTGTCCTGAAGGGTACAGGGCATGTGCGAGCCCTAGGGAAACATGTTACACGTTACCGATGGTTATCGAGATTTTGGGCTTGGGGAAAAAAGCCTGGTGCAATCTGGCGGCTGCACATAGGCTGTAAGTACATGCTCCCTCTGCCTGGGAGATCATGGTGTCTGTACGCAGTATTATCAGAACCCCCAGCTCAACATCTAAGTATGATTGAGATTCGTTCTTGCTGGATGCATCTACTGGGTGCTCATTAGGAGTCAATGTTTCAATATGCGCTTCAGCAAAAACAGAAGGGATGCTTAAAGATAGCATCGTTCGTGTCGGCAGGGTCTCTGGAGCTTGTTGTAGATCCCGAGTCTCACCACCTCTTCTTCCCCTGGGGATCTAAGGACTCATATATTAAGGTTTTGGGCCCAAAGACCATACTATATAAGGCTTTTGGGCTATTTTGATCCCTAGGGTTCGAGATCCTATTCTGCTAGGACCTAGAGTCCTAGAGTAGGCCCTCAGTCCCTTGTTTTAGGGTTCAGGTTCCCTTATAAAGGGCACCCGTTGTATTCCTGGGTTACTCTTTGGTCGATTGTGTGGCTAGGGTCTTTCAAGAAGAAGGTCCATGTTGAACGTGTGATTTTTCGGCACTTGAGGGTCCAGCCTGGGGATAGTAGAGTCCAGGGTTTATGGGTTGACGTTTAACTTGACTGGGCTGAACAAGCTTCTTGGCTTGTTGTATGCCATGAATTTCACCGAAGCCTCCCGCATCCCTACCTGGACCCGACACAATCAATCTATATGGGTATTTCTTAAAATTAGGGTCCCTTGTAGGTCTCTTTTCAATAATTCAAGGGTGCCATACTATTGTGGGGACCGAAAGAGGGACCTTAATTTGGCGAACTACCTGCATGGTAGCCTGCAAGTCTTTTGAACAAAGCCGGGCCGAACCTTTCCACCCTAAGCCCGGCTCTTGCTGTAGGTGGCGCTAGTGACGTCTGCGCCACGGACTGCAGAAAATGCAGCATGGAACCTCGACTATAACATGAGTTCACCGGCATCTTTAGGGATTTTTGGCCAAGAAGGCTCCATGTAGCTATGTAGTATAGACTTAGGCCCTTAGCCTTAAGTACTTACGTATGTATGGACTACATCAAGGCCTCTGTAAGTATATATTACACTATCATGTGAGCACATGGAGACTTAAGACTTAAGGTAGGTCTTATTAGGTCTTATGGTTTGGCGGTGATCGTCGTCCCAGCACTCCAGACCCCGAGCAACAAAACTTCACTGTTGTGACATAATGTTACAGTCGTGGTCCTAGCCCTCCATGGATACAACAAGGGTGACTATACGAGCCCCTTAAGGGATACTATACGGCTTACTAATATAGGGGCCCATGTAACATGTAAGGGTAGGGTCCTGAAAGCCTGAACCCTAAACCCCTACCCAAGAAGACCTCTTTTTGGAACGCTGTAGGGTTTAGGGTTTAAAGGGATCTTGTGAGGTCTTACATCTACAGGGCTCTTCGGGTTCGGGGTTTAGGGCGGTTTGGAGTTTTCAGGTTGCTAGATGAATTTGGGCTTCAAGGGGTTGCGCGTGAGACTAGCGCGATGTAACAGAATTCAACACAGCAGTTACCCAGACCCCCGGGAGGATCTAGACAGTAGATCCCTTAATTTGTGGCCCTGTACTACTAAGAGTCTGGGAACCCACATAAAGGGATCTACTTTTTGGATCCTCTTGGGGGTCTGGGTATCTATGTCGTCGTGAGAGCAAGGTCGGCAAGTAGCTTGCTTATGTGGGTGGTTGTCTGAACTATGGTCCCCTTTTTGGGTACCCTAAATATTAGGTGCCGCACTGTTTTAGGGGCCCACAAAGGAACCAGAATTGTGACAACCACCCATGTACCTCCGAAGGCGAAGAGGTGTGAACACTAATAGGCGGGCTTGTCATGTGCACGAGTGGTTCCCCGATACCCTAAAGTCAATGACCCTGCAGCAACCTGAACCATGGACTCAACCTAAGCCCCTAAAGCCCCTGAGCTACTCCATCCTGAATCCCAGAACCCCAAACCGCCCAAACCCTCTAAACTTCAATACTCTCTTCATCCCTGAAGCACTTAAGCCTGTGAATCTTCCGAGTCGTAGAGTAGGTATCCTTCAGCTCTTTTGCGTAGTATGGTCCCTATAAGCCTAAGCCCTATAGGTCCTTAACTTCCGCTCTTGCTGCCGAACCCCAATACCTTCATGGCGCCTCACAGGAATGTCAACTTCGAAACCAGGCCTCAAACCCTAAACCCTAAACCCCTAAACCCCTAAACCCTAAATCCCTAAACCCCAAACCCCTAAACCCTAAACCCCTAAACCCTAAACCCCTAAACCCTAAACCCCTAAACCCTAAACCCCAAACCCCTAAACCCCTAAACCCTAGACCCCTAACCCTAAACCCCTAAACCCTAAACCCCTAAACCCCAAACCCCTAAACCCTTAAACCTAACCTTCATGGTCCCTCACAGGAATGTCAACTTCGAAACCAGGCCTCGGCCCTTCATCTGGGAGTTTCCGAAAATTAGGGGTGCCTTATTTTGGGCTCCTTTAAGGGTTCCTTTAAAGGGATCTATAAGGGTTCTATAAAAGGGTTTAGGGTTTAGAGTTTCCGAAAATTAGGGGTGCCTTATTGGGGGTCCTTATCATAAAGATCCTACTATTTTGGGTACTAGATTAGGCTCCTGGACCCTCGTAGTGAGATCCCGGACCCTAGCCCCCAAAGCCGAAACCCTCCCCCAGAAAGCCCAAGACCCTCTTAGGAGCCTTAGGGTACTAGATTAGGGTCCCATATTTTAGGAAACTCCCATGTCAGTGTTGCCTCGAGGCTTCAGAATGGGGCGAGGGTTCAAGGGCTGCCGCACGCAGACTCCCGCGAGGATCTAGAAAGTAGATCCCCTAACTTGGGGCCCTATACTACTAAGGGTACTTTATGGGAACCCACGTTAAGGGATCTACTTTTGGATCTTTTTGGATCCTCCTGGGGGTCTGGGCAACTGTTCAGGTTTTAGGGTCTTAGCAGCGGTCTTGTCGGCGTGCCCAAGCTGTTTTATCAAGACCTCTTATCGTTGCACATTCAGTTTCCGACCCATGTTCCGACGGGTACCGGTCTCTATCACCCTAGACCCTCAACCCGAAACCTTATCGCATGCCTAAATCAGACACATTGCGGAGGGCAGAGGCTTGAGAGTGGATGGGGACTTCGAGAATTCTCACGATCTGATTTTGTTGGAGGGGGCTTCCGAAGTCCGGAGTGAAGCAAGAGCGGAGATAGTCTAGTGTAAAGACTTAATATAGTAGAGTTTGATACACCATAGCATAACATGGCTAGTATAGTACACGAGAGTATACTGAAGTGACATGACACCATAAGATGTGAACGAGATTGGTTCAGGTATGTTTCCTTGAGGCACTCGCATGTGGAAATGTAGAAATGACCTCCCTCTTAACATGCCTAGGATGCCCAGTAGTACCCTTATTCCCTTTTTGTAGTCCTAGGTTCCTTATAAAGTTACCCAATACCAAAAAGAGAGGCCTTTTTATTCTTAGGTTACTGGGTATCCTAGATGCTCTAGGCCGAAGTGCTTTGATCTGCCTCGTGGGCTGCCAAATCTGACAGAGCCAAACTACTGTTGATGATCTAAATCCTGCGTTACCCTAAGGACCCTAAACTATGGGATTTATGGCATATTCCTTATTATGGGTAATGCAGGTTTTATATCATCAACCGTAAGGGATTGAGGGTTTTAGGGTTTAGTGTGTTAAGGCTTACATAGGGCTTCGGAAAATGTGACCAAGGTGCTGCCACGCACTACTGACTCTGTATGCGTCTTCTGACAAAGACAAAACCTTAAACCCTGAAGAACGATACCAGGATGCCTTCCCCAAGCCAGAGTGTGGTCCGCCTTCAGTCACCAGCCGGAGAAGTACTTCGGACGCTGGGAGAACCACACATACTTCCCGTCGCCTCAGGACGCCTGCGTTTGGGATGTAGGGTTTAAGGTTCAGGGGTTCAGGGCTGTATCGGTTTGAAGCTCTTGGATGTAGGGTTTATGGCTTGGGAAATAGAAATGTAAAGTTCTGCATTTCAGATGGTGCTTGTTTAGGGAGGAAGGTCCGGACACCAGACTCCACGCCTCATCGGTTTGAAGCTCTTGGATGTAGGGTTTATGGCTTGGGAATTAGAAATGTAAAGTTCTGCATTTCAGATGGTGCTTGTTTAGGGAGGAAGGTCCGGACACCAGACTCCACGCCTCAAATGGGGCCTTCCTTAGTGAACCCGAAACCTTGAACTCTAAGCCCCAACCTCCAAATCCCACACCCTAGACCCCAAACCCGAAGCGACTCTGGGCCCAGAAACTACAAGACCTTCAGCCCTAACTAAACTGAACCATAAACCCCTAAACCCTAAACCCCTAAACCCTAAATCCTAAACCCCTAAACCCTAAACCCCTAAACCCTAAACCCTAAATCCTAAACCCCTAAACCCTAAACCCCTAAACCTTACGAGCCCCAAGTTCGGCTCTGAGTCGATAAGTTTAGGTTTGGCCGGGAGGCTGCGGTTCAGGGTTGAGTGTTTAGGGGTTTAGGGTTTAGGGCTTAGGGGTTTAGGGTTTAGGGCTTAGGGGTTTAGGGTTTAGGGTTTAGGGGTTTAGGGTTTAGGGCTTACTTGGAGGATCATGGGACTTAGTAAGTAGGGTGATAAGTACCTTAATCGGGGGGATAAGTAGGTATAACTACAGTGACCTTACTTATAACCCTACTTACTAAGTCCCATGATCCTCCAAGCAGTAGCTGAGTGGATACACTTTACACTTCTTGGGATAATATCACCCAACATAAAACTAAAAGTGTACACTTTTGGGGGGGCTTATGAACTCAGCAACTAAGGGGTTGGGGGGAGGAATGTTGGGCTTTGGACTTGTTTTGCGGTTTGTGGAGTTCATGCTTGCGCAACAACATCTTGAAGAGGATTGGCGGGCATTCTCCATTTACCAGCTCATCACCGATCGTACCTTGGACAAAAACTACCGTCGTTTTGTGCAGAGCTGCAAGGTCTACTCGCTGAAGTTTCCTCCCATAACGCCTAAACCCTCCCTGATGTTATGGGATTCTAAGGGTGGGTGGGTGTTATTTCTAAACCGTAAACACAACTCTACTTTAAAACTGCTCGATCCGGAGTTGCTGAACCCTAAACCCTAAACCCTAAAGCCCTGAACCTCGAACCTGAGCCTCGACTGCTTGAACGCAAAATAGCTACAGCTATCCTTGCCCAGAGCTCCAGCACGAGCCCTAAAGATTTGGGCTCGGGGGTTCGGGGCAGAGTCTTTAGGGTTTCGGGATGGATGTGGTGCGAAGGGTTCAAGGGTTTAGAGTTTAGAGGTTTAGAGCTTACAACCCTTCTGATGATAACAGGCAAGTACCCCCCCCCCTCCAAAACAAAAAAAAAAGCAGGTTTCGTCAGTTCCGCAGGGCCTCGGATCACACCCGAGGCGTTGTGCCCCAAACTCTCGACTCAAAAAGGAGGTGCTTAAGGCTACGACCAGGGCCGTCATATAGTCATTAGCATGAGTTTGTATGAAGAAGTATGTTACGCTAAATATCCCTTACCACAAGATGCCCCAAGAACTTCCGATGGTTGGGTCTCAAGGTTTCCTAAACCTCAGAAGGAGAAGATGCCGAATCCCGAAAGTAGAACAACCTGATATGGGGGCTTGAATAGTTACCAATACTATTTTGGGGGGTTCATTACTATAAATATAGTATCATGAGCGCCAAAACACTCTTTTCTTATTGTTAAGGACCCTACAGTACATGTGCATTCAAAAGCCTAAGTTTTGGGGCCTGATACCACGCCAAGGTTTCGCCGATGGCGATCCCAGGCAAGTGGTGATCGTTCTCTGAGGGGTTTGAGGCTTATAGGTGATGTGGCGGCTGTTTCCTTTAGCACGTTCCTTTGCGGTGAGCTGAGGGGGTTTGCTGTAACGTATCTGAGCTTTGAAACAGGGACAGTTCCAAAAGGATCAACAACTCCCTGCCTGCCGAAATGTTGGGCTGACTCAAGCTATGCGCCTAAGGAAGCTAGGCTTCAAACCCCAATCCTGCCAGAGATTCATTTTGGCGGTGGAATGTTCTGCACGCATGCTTGGGAGATGTTCGATTGTACAGTTGCTACGGCAGAAGGCTTTGGGGTTTCACGCATGGATATGCCCCAAAACCCTACGGAAGTCATGAGCCGAGCCCCTACAGATACAAATAAGTCGCTTTGCCTCGGGGTGTTTTCGGACAGAAGATCGGTTCGATGAGCAACGGTGTGGGTAACATGGCCATGCAAGATGATGTTCTCTTTCGAACTCCCGACACCCTAAACCCTAAACCCTAGACACCCAACCTCAATAAGTCGGTTGCCCCATGAAGCCTAGACGGTTCCTGTGGTAGGAACAATGAGCTATTCGACGGCGGATTCGACGTCCGCGACATGACCTTCCGCCACGGACTGGGATTACGGGTCAGTCTGTGTGATTTGTTGATGGGTCTCAAGACCCTGAGAACCCCAAATCGTAAACACCGATCGTGGTTTAGGGTTCAGGATGCAAGGCTTGGCTGGCTATTGTAGGAGCCTGATTAAGAAACCCGAAACCCTGAACCCTGGTCCTAGAGTCCCGAAATACTAGCATCTTGTAGACCGAGCTAGCATTCCTTGGATCCAAATAGAGCCTCAAGAAAGACCCAAGGCGCTATATTTAGCGCTATCTAGCAAGGGGAGCCCTGCGGTGGCAACGCGAAGCTGGAGCCCTATATTCATAAGAAGGATCCCCCCCCCCCCCGAAAAAAAAAAACTATAGTATTGGCAATTATCTAGGCCCCCACATTACTTCTTTCCTTCAGGGTCCAAGGGAGGGCCTTGAGTGCCACAATCCCTGCTCTGGGATGGTTTGGGGGAATCTAAAGCCCTACTTTTTGGGTCATTTGACCCTTCGGGCTGGCTCTCTACGAAGATTCACAGTGTAGAGGTTTGTGTACCGGCTTGTTACGTTTGTCATGCTTCGAGTTCTCTTTCTCCTGCTTATTTGGGACATAGTCTTCTGTGCGCAACTGTATCAGCCCGTCACTACTTGAAGGCTCATAGGACTTAGTAAGTAAGGTTATAAGTAGGTTGTAATTAGGATAACCCCACTTTGGGGACTAATAACCCCAATTATAACCTACTTACTAAGTCGCATGATCCTCTAATAGTCTGAGTAGGTCTCGGATCGTGCAGGCCTAAGCAGGGCAAGCCTTGCCGTGGAAGTCGAGAACTGAACCTGAACCCCAAGGGTTTAGGGCTTGCGGTTAAGGTTTAGGACATGCCTGAAACCCTGAGTTAGAAATTCCACCAGCCCCGCAGCGTTCCTCCATCTCTACACCCGAAAGACCGATGTTACCCTAAACCCCTAAACCATATACCCTGAACCCCAAACCCTAAACCCCAAGCCCTAAACCTCAAACCCGAGACACGTCGCAGGAGGAGATTTTGTAGGGTTGACGCAGAAGCTTCACTACATCAAAGGCGCCAAGGGTGGGGCAAGTTGCAGACGCCCGGGTTAGGCTTCTGTCAGCTGGTGGCTAAAGCCTAAAAATCCCAAAACCCCTCGACACTACTAGGCCGTCCCCACGTGCAGACGGAAAAGATCTGCCCAACAATGACCCCTAAACCCTTGAATCCTAACCCCAAACCCTGAACCTTAAACTCTAAACCCCTAAATCCTGAACCCAAACCATCTGTTGACCCTATACCTGAAGGGTCAGTCAGATCTCACGGGTGCAGGGGATTGATGTTTCCTGGTGGTACGGTTGATGATATAAATCCTGCATTACCCATAATTAATCGGGAATATACCATAATTCCCATACTTGAGGGTCCTTCAGGTAATGCAGGATTTAGATCATCAGCCGTACAGATAGGACAGACAGGACTTGTGGGCAACGGCTACTTAGTGCGTGTTTAGCTTCGAGCTGAGGCTATGATATCGGGGCTCATGTTGTTTCTTACGATGGCTGTGACCAACCTAGTCGAGACACGGAGCCTACGTCTCTTGATGGGGCTACTTGGAGGTTCATGGGTAGTTATAAGTAGGGTTATAAGTAGGGTAACTATACTTATAACCCATATTAGGGGACTTTTTACCCCACTTTTAACTAACCCTGAACCTCCGAGTAGGAACTGTAGAGGAATTTCACGCTGCACGAGCCCAAGCGACGTAGGACTGCAGGCACATCAGTGTGACCGCAGGCTGCAGGAGTCACAGCAATGTAAAGCTAAAGGGTTAGCTACCTGCCAAAAACCCAAACTACCCCAAATCCACCTTGAGTTGAAGTCTCCCACCCGCATCCACTCAGGAGGAAGCTTTTAGTATCAGGGGAGCGGATTGTTCCATGCCCGAAAGCTAGTGTGACAACATCACAGATGATGCTAGAATCTGCAATGCAAAACTTTCTGCGTTTCCGTACGGTTCGCCCAATTCTTGAAGTCCTCACCTTCGATGCAGCTTCTACAAGCCTCTTGGTTTGAGTCGAATCGGATATCGTCAGCGGAACTCACTCTCATAGCCCTACAGTAGAAGCCCAAAAGTTGGAAACCCAATAGCCTCAATCCTTAAGAGTAATGTCTAGGGAATCCCAGCACCACTTGGCCTTAATCGGGTTTCCAACTTTATGGGGTTTACTGTAAACCCTTAAACCTAAGCCCCTAAACCCCCAAACTCCTAGACCCCTAAACCCCTAAAACCCCTAAACCCTACATCCCGAAACCCTAAACCCAAGATTCGACTCCAAAGTCCCGGCAGGCCTTGGTTGCCGGGGGGTTTGGATCTCACCGGTCTTCCAGAACGGCTGGAGTCTCAGCCCGGACCCAGAGACTCCAATATCCCTTAGTTAAGGAAGATACCTTAAACTATAGTAGGATCCCTAATATGATTTAAAGTATATTCCTTAATTAAGGGATATTGGAGTCTCAGCCCGGAGGGTCATGGATATATGGGTGGTTGTCAAAATTCGTCCTTATTCTAATACGGCACCTCATAATTAGGGTACCCAAAAAGGGAAGGGACCATAAACTTGACAACCACCCACACATATATATATATATATATGTATATACACACACATACATACATACATACATACATACATACATATGCATAACTGTATAATTATACACACGCACACAAAACAGACACACCTACTACTTACATAGCTACATACAGACACACGTACCTACATACTTACCTACATACATGCATACCTAATTACTTTAAAAGCTACATACATACCTACATACATACACACACATACATACCTAGATACGCCTTCATGTACATGTTATATATGTATATGTAGAAGACATTTTTATGCTTAATAGACATGTACGTGTATGTATATATATATATATATATATATACATTATATATATATACACATTATATACATGAGAGAGAGAGAGAGAGAGAGAGAGAGAGAGAGAGAGACACAAAGATATAGATATAACATGGGCATGTACATGTCGTATACATGTCTCTATGTGTGTGTATATATATATATACATCATATATATATATATATATATATACACATTATAACCATTGTATAATTGCATACATATGTACACGTACACCTATATACTCTTTACATACATAATAATATATGCAAAACTGTACTTTTTCTTGAATAAGGTCGTCGGTCTCGGGGGGTAAGTTGAAATAGCCATCAGACAAGGTGCAGGCAGTCGAAGGCGTTTCGTCCCGCGAAGGAGCAGGGGTGTGGGGTCTAGAAGCTTTCCCTAAGGGTCCATGTCCTCATATAGTCTATACATTGGCCTTAATGTAGTCCCTATATGGGTACATTGGGCCCAAAGTATCTCTATATGGGTACATGGACCCTTAGGGTTTACGACTTCCGTATGAGGCGAACCCTAAACCCTGAACCGCAAAGAAACGGTATCTTTGGGTGCGAGAGGGCAGATGCCGGCAACCTTTTGGATCCTTGGTCTGCTTCTACCTGCGGCCTATTTTGGAGACATTGAGCTTCCATCTGTACCCCCGTCTAGTACCGTAAAGAAACCCTTTGGGCTCAACATAGCCCAGAAGCCTACTTGGAGGGTCGGGGGACTTAGTAAGTAGGTAGTAAGTAGACTTATAAGTACCCTAAAAGGGACCCTAATTGGGGTTATGGTACCTATAAGTCCCTAAAACAACCAGTTACTAAGTCCCCCGACCCTCCAAGTACTCATGGAATGCCCCTAAACCCTAAACCGTTGCCCGTTCTGTCCGCATTGGCCGAGGTTTCAACAGCTACCATCAGCCTCTCGACTCGGGGGCGGTAACGCACGAAGACAGGGTTTCGGGCACAGGGTTCGGTCTTAGGGTTTAGGGTTCCTTTTTGGGGTTTAGGCTTTAGGGTTCAGGGGTTTAGGGTTCAGGGTTCCTTTTTGTGGGTGTAGGGTTTAGGCTTATTGCAGTTTTGGGTTGGTTAGGGTTCCTTCGATATAGTTCCTTAAAAATCTAGGTCTATTGGGCCACGGGTAGGGTTTGGAGTTTAGGGTTTAGGGTTTAGGCGTTTTGGAGCTTATGGTTTAGGCTGACGTTGCGGCATTCTTTCGGACGGGAGTTTCAGCAAGGAAGCGACACTAGTAGAGACTCTGCATATACGCCGGATCCTTACATCAAGGACATGTACGGACCGCTGGGTCGTGCACCTTGGATATAATATATAGGCAACCCAATATCAATTATGGAAATATGTATCTGGTCATACTTGCTGCTTGCTGTCAGCGGTGCTTGAGTGGGGTGTGCTGTTTTCATTGCGAAATACAAGATCTTGACTGGCATTGATTCATAAATAGTCGCACCATGTGCTGAAACCATTTGGGGTTTAGAGTGGAACAGAACCCTAAAACCGCTAGACCCCAAACCCTAAACCCCTAGACCCTGCACCCTAAACCCTGAACCCCGAACCCAAAGCCCCAAACCCTTGAACCCTAAACCTTAGCCCAGTTCATCTGAGGTATGCCCAGTTGGACTTCACCACCCTGGATATGCGGCTTGGAACGCTGGAGGACTTCAATGAACCCTAAACTAACCTGAACCTTATGCGATGAACCCCACTTAAAGGATCATGGGACTTAGTAACTAGGGTTATGATTAGGGCAGCTATACTATTATAGCTATTTATAACCCCAATTAAGGTACTTATAACCCTACTTACTAAGTCCCATGATCCTCCAAGCAAGCCCTATGCCCTAAACCAAGCTAACCGAAGCCCGAAAGACCTGAAGCCAAAAATCTTCCCAGACCCGAGGGTTCATGGGGTGGTATGACGATGTTAACACTTGTGAGAAGACACATAAATCACAATAATACTAACACTACCAGCAATGGCAACAAGAATGACTATAAGAAGAAGAGAAGCCATAGTAACAACACTACCCTTTAGGATTGCGGTAACTATAAGGATAAGACTCAGAACCCCACTGTTTGACTCTGCAGCAGGAGCTGCGCAAGCTGACAACCACTGCGCACGACCTCGGGATGTACGTCATCGTGGATGTGGCTCGACGGCAGCCCGGGGGATCCCCCAAAATCTGGGCCTATCTCAACTTTTACCTGTTTAGGGTTGAAGGGTTTGGGGTTGAGGGAAATTAGGGTAATTAACTATTATGGTGTAGGGATTTTTCTCGGACATGTGTATACATATAAAGGGTATATACACACAGTAAGGCACCCTAAGGAAGGTCCGGAAGGCTTTACAGGGTCCGGGAAATGTTTAAACTGGGACCCGTCTGTCGTTTTGGGGTTCCGAAGCTCCGACTTAATCTCTAAGCGCGAAACCTTATGCTTCGCGCCCTTTCGAATGCAACCATCGTACACTAACCCCTTGTCCATCCTTACCCCTAAAGCCTAGCCCGTCACAACCCTAAGGCACAAAGCTTATGGGTAGTTGTCAAAATTAGGGTCCTTTTTTGGGTACCCTTAAAAATAGGTGCCGTATTCTAATAGAGACCCAAATAGGGACCCTAATTTTACAAACCACACTTAGGAGCACTAAACGAAAGGCTTCTGATGACTAAACCTTCTTAATCAAACTTCTACAGCTATACTTGGAGGATCATGGCACTTAGTATGTAGGGTTATAAGTACCTTAATTGGGGTGATAAGTAGCTATAAGTATAGTTACCCTAATCATAACCCTAGTTACTAAGTCCCATGGTCTTTTTAAAAAGGGGTCCCCGGCGCCCTAAACCCTAAAACTTTACCCCTTACCTCACGTCCATAAAACCTACCTTTTTCAGGACCTTTTAGGGAAGTTATAATAATAACCCCTAAAGCGGTCGGTTTCTAGGATCCAGGTAAACCCGAAACTTTCTCAAGCTCTAGGAATCTAGAGCGTCCCCGAGGTGGTGATGGGTGATGAACCACATGGCCAACCCTCAACCCTAAGCCCATCATGCAGTCGGAGCAGAGTCTTCAAAACAAATCCTTAAACCCTAAACCCTATACACCCTAAACCCTACACCCCGTATCCTAAACCCCAACCTCGAGGTGGTGATGAACCCCTATAGGCCCCTGAAAGGTACCCTTAAAGGAACCCCTATAGAACCCCGATGCATCCCTCCTAACCCCAAAATGGTGATGAACCACATCCTAAACCCTAAACTCCTAAACTCCCAAACTCCTAAAGCCCCGAGGTGGTGATGAACCACATGGCCAACGAGTTCTACTTCGAAGGCCACGCGGAGAGTGAGGCGCCCTGGCGCTTTCACGAGCAGCTCGGATCGAATCTTGGGTGGGTTCCTTTAAGGGAGGAAAAACGGGGGTCTCTACCCAGACCCCCGGGCGGATCTAGAAAGTAGATCCCCTAATTTGGGGCCCTATACTACTAAGGGTACTTTATAGGAACACCCACTAAGGGATCTACTTGTTGGATCCTCACCGGGGGTCTGGGTATTGGTCCCTTTAAGAGTACCTTTAGTTCAAGGATTAGGGTCCTGTAAGGGTATCTATAGGAGTTCCTTTAAGGGGCTTATAAGGTTCCTTTCAAGGTATCTCTAAATAAGTTAAAGGGAAGTATAGGGTTTTTGGTGAATCCTTTACGGGTACCTTTAGTTTAAGGGGTCTATCTTGAAGGGTATCTTTAAGTAAGGGTCTCTATGGGGCTTCATTTGTAGTTTCGTTTAAGGGGGTTATAGGGGTTCCTTTAAGGGTACCTTTAGTTTAGGGTTCTAGGGTTGAAGGGATTATACATGGTTTTCGGTTTAGGGTCCTTTAAGGGTACCTTTTAGCGGCTTATACGGGATCCTTTAAGGGAAGCAAAGGGTTCTATAGGGGTTCATTGAAGGTTTCCTTTAATGGAATCCGTGATCGGTTCCTGGAAGAGTTCCCATGAAGTGCCTTTGAGGGTTTCAGAAAAGGGCTCAAGGATTTAGGGGCCATACTGCCAGTATAGTTACTTGGCAGTTGGAGTTCTGGGAGGGCAGTTTGGGGGGGTTGGGGTTTGGCTGTTGACCCAGGCTGGAAGCCCGATTATAGTAGATCCTTCACCTTTTGCGCCGGACCAGAACAATAGGGTTTAGATCAACAGGACTTATGAACAAAGGGCCCAAAACCTTGTTTACGTTCGTATTTGGCGAACTTTGTCGTTGAGTAGAGCACATGAGTGCAAGAACGGTGATCCGACGTAGCCCATACCTATAGTCTCCCGAGGAATTATTTTTGATCTTGGTTCATATAAAACCCAAGAGAATATTAAAACTATTGTTTTTATTGTGGTGCTAAGGGGTGTATAGATAGTACTAGAAGATGCCTTCTAACAACTCTTGCCCTCAACCTCGAACCCTGTGCCCATCTGAACCCTACGCCCTGAACCCTGAACACCCAAACCTTAGAACCCTAAATCCTAACCACCCTAAGCTCTACACCCAGAATCAGAAACCCCACAGCCCCAAACCTCAAACCCTAAACCCCCCAACCCCTCAACCTCCTAAACCTCCTAAAACCCTAAACCTCCTAAATCCCATAAACCCTAAACCCCCTAAACCCTCTAAACCCTAATCCCTAAACCACCTAAAACCCTAAACCTCCTAACCCCCTGAACCCTAAACCCCCTAAGCCTAAACCCCTTAAGCCCTAAAATCTAAACCGAACATACCATGCTCTCTCGATCGTATCGTTGGGTCGATACTGAGCGAGAAGAAGATATTGGACCATCCTTTGGAGGATCAGGAAAAGAAAGCCCTGGAGGCATGCCGCCCTGGGATGCGGCAGCTAGAGAGCTGTTTTCGACACTGGATAATGCGGCGACCAGTGCAAACAGCCAACGAGCTGCTGGCGATTGCGGAACTTGGAGCTGCGATCGCCAAGTCACAGCTTACGAAGCCTGCCGTTTCATCCTACTCAGACAGGTCTCTGGAAATCTTGATCCAACATACTCTGCGAGCCTTGCAAAGAGAATCGGAACCATTGAGTTTCCTCAAGAGCTTGGACAACAATTCTCTACAGTTGCTGGTGCACAAGACGACGCAGAGGGGAACTTTCGGCAAGTATCTGGAGATTGTCGGAACTGCAGAAAGCTGGGCTGCAGAGCGGGTGACGGCGAGGATGCGAGGGTAAAAAGGAATTTAAAAAAACCTTAAACCCTGAACCCCTAAGCCCGGAACACTGAGCCGAGGAACCGAAACGAGCGGGAGTACCGGCCGCCCCGCAGCAACTTTCGGGTTTAGGTTTCCCTTCAAAGGTACCTTTCGGGTTTAGGAGTTTAGGGTTGAGGGGTTTAGGGTGTAGGGTTTAGGGTTCCTTTAAAGGGGTGCCTTTAAGGGTACCTTTAAAGGGTCTATAGGGTTTCCTTAACGGGTACCTTTAAAGGATCTGTAGGGGTTCCTTCGAGGGTACCCTATGAGGGGTCTATTGGGGTTCCTTCAAGGGTACCTTTAAAGGCACAGGGGTGTATAGGGGTTCCTTTAAGGGTACCTTTAAGGGGTCTTTAGGAGCTTTTTTCAGGGTGCAGTTGAGGGGCATGTACGGGTTCCTTTAATTTAAGGGTATCTTCAAGAGTCCCTTATAGGTTTTTTGTTCAGGGTCTTTTGGGCTTTGGGGTTTTGGGTTAAGGGATCCGGCTCAGGGGTCTCTAGGGGTTCTATCCTTCCCTAGACCCGTACAAAGTCCCTTAATTGAAGCGTATGCCTCAAACCGTATGCGGGATCCGAATATGATTTAGGGTAAAGTCCTCAATTAGGGGAGTTTGGAAGGTTTGGGCGCACAAGAGCCTAGATCTGGTATGCTTAGGGCTTAGGACTTTGGGTTTATGGTTTAGTGGTTTCATAGTTTAAGGGTCCTTAGAATGTTTGAGCTTGAGTTTTACCACAAGAGTCTTCAGAAAGTTGGCTATGGCATTTTAAGGTTCCCCCACAATTCTGGATTTGGTTTTATAACAAGAACCTATATAAGGATTTCAGTTATGGTAGTTAAGTCGGGGTCTGGCCTTACTCATATAGAAAGAAGCCTGAATAGCTCGAACTATATAGCAATACTATACCCTGGATTTCCTTATTAAATGTGTAATATTACAATGCATTCAGAAGCTCTGTTTTCATTCCTGCAGGCCCAAAATTAAATCAACTGTAGCCTTGTTGGGGTGCCCTGGTCGATTCCCCTCCATAATCCTCAAGGCTAATCCCAAAGAAAACTGGGCCAGAAAACGACTTCATAGCCCAAGTTCTACGCATTTCGGCAGGGTTTCATGTTTGTTCTACAGGAGTTCGGGAACCCCTAAACCCTAAACCCTAAACCCCTAAACCCTAAACCCTCAAACCTAAACCCTAGAGCTTAACAGCTTTCAGGGCTGTGACCCCAAACGCTAAACCCTACAACCCGAAGACAAAAAGGATTTCGTCGACAGGGCATCGGGATTTTTTAGGGGGCTCCCGATTATATCGAAAGTATAGAGGGCTTCAAAAGCCCTATTCAAATTATCAAGGTCCTAACAAAACGATGAAGTCTCCGGAGGAGTAGGCTTCTTGGGCTGATTAGGGTTTACGACGTCTAAAGCCTTCTGGGATCATGGTGCCTGAGACAGAATATAGAAGCCTAAAGTATTACCAATATCATCCATAGGGCTCCTCTTTGTAATTATGGTATAACAAAGCCAAGCCCTATTCTAACTATCAAGGCCCCTACATTACGATTCTCATAAAGAATCCTATACCCTAAATCCTAAACCTTAAGGGGACCATTGTTCAACGAACCAGGCTGATGACCCGGAAGCCAGAGAACATGTTGTACGACACCCCCCAAGGGCCGCTTGGACTGTTTCCCTCGTGTGGGTGGGCTCAATCAGCAAATACATCAGTGCATGCACGCATGTGTGCATATGCATGTGTGAATTTTCTGCGTATGTGCGGGCATGTGTACATGTATGATATATGTATGTGTGCATGCACATGAACATGTGTATGCTCCTGTGCGTGTGCACGTATGTAGGGAATCTATATTGTTCAAATCCTTGTTTCGTTTTTTATGTTGGTACCATTTGCCCGCAACTATCTTCCTGCTCGCCTGCCTGCCTGTCTGAGTGTCTGTCGGTCTGTCGGTCTGTCTGTCGGGATTGTCTGTCGGTTGGTCGATCGGGCTGGCTGGCTGGCCGGCCTTTGGCTGTCTCTCTCTGTCTCTCTCTCTCTCTCTCTCTCTCTCTCTCTCTCTCTCTCTCTCTCCCCCTCTCTCTCTCTCTATCTCTTTCTGTCTATCTTTCTCTCTTTCTTTCTCTTCCTGGAGATATTACTGACCTCTCAAGCTAGTCAGCTTGTTACTTGTTTCCTACAGCGCTCTCAACCGCTCACCTGGTCTAGGTAGGTTTCGCGACGAGCGATTCTACAGTCTAGAGCTTAGGGATTTTGGGGTGAGGGTGCACCGTCGAGGGTCACTAACCAAACTAATGTTCAATACTACTTTAAGAGTTTCTGACTATAACTATAGTATAATATACCCCAAAACCCTAGTCTAATTATTAAGGCCCTATACTAAATTATCCTTATAACTGCCCTGAAAGTAGCCCTTGCAGCTCCTATATAGTAGTTGGCTGTTGACTCAATGCATTTGACGACCCAGCTGTGCCCTTCTCCACTGTGTACGGTGCGTGGGGTGCACTGATATGGGAATTCCTCGAAGTCTCCAGAGCTTCACGGACGGTTTAGGAACCCTAAACCCCTAAACCCTAACCCGGAATCCGAAACCCTAAACCCTAAACCCCTAAGCCCTGAACCCCTAAACCCTAACCCGGGCATCCGAAACCATGCCCAGGAAGCAGCCGTATCTGGACTTCTACTACGACAACACCTGGGCAGCTCGGATGCGACCTTCTCACCGTCAGGGTTTAGGGTTTTAGGGTTTAGGGTTTGGGGTTTAGGGTTTAGGGTTTAGGGTATGGGGTTGCTGAGGGTTTTAGGGTTTGGGGTTTAGGGTTTTAGGGTTTCGGGTTTTAGGGTTTAGGGTTTGGGGTTTAGGGTTTTAGGGTTTGGGGTTGAGGGTTTTAAGCCAAAGAGAGTCTCGAACCCAAATACAGTAGTAAGGTGCAACTCATATCCTGGACGCCTGAAAATTTTAGGGTTTGGGGTTTGGGGTTTGGGATGTAGGGTTTTAGGGTTTAGGGTTTAGGGGTCAGGGTTTGGGGTTTTAGGGTTTTCGGGCTTCGGCAGCCCATGAAGTCTTCATGTTCCCGTCTGACATGCTGCAGTCGCCGTGGGAGTTTATGATGAACTCCGAACATTCATTCTGTACCAGTAGATATATCTGTTTTTTATATACTGTGTTTATTGCATATACATCATGTGTATAATCCCACACATTGTGTGACAGTTGTACTTGTGTACGCAGATACAGAGACCCTAACCTGCACACCCTAAACCCTGAAATCCTAAACTCCGTACATCCCAAACCCTAAAGTCCTAAAGCCCTAAGTTCAATAAAGCCCTGAACTCTAAAGCCCAAAACCCTATACAACCAAAAACACCCTAAAATCCGAAATAACCTAAAACCCTAAAGCCCTAAAGCCCCAAGAGCTGAAACTCCTAAAACCCTACTTGCAGGTTCATGGGTAGTTATAAGCAGGGTTATAAGTAAGGTAACTATACTTATAACCCATATTAGGGGACTTGTAACCCCACTTAGAACTACCCATGAACCCTAAACCCCATACCCTTATAGAATCCCTGTAGATCCCTTTAAAAGGGCCCCTAAAAGCCCCTACTTATATCTACCCATGAACCTCCAAGTACAGCTGCAAATCCGCGAGACGAGGATCCGAACGCCACCTACAACGGCACGCTCTACGGCCAGTTCCTTTGTCATAGTTGGGTTTTAGGGTTTTCGGTTCTAGGGTCAGTTGGGTAGCATTTTGCATTTGTTATAAGGGTAATTATAGACCCAATTCGGAATAAGAATATAGAGTTTTAATACTCTCCCAACCATGAACTAGGTTCGGCGAGTGGGTCGATGACGATGGCTCTCTGGGTTTTGGGACCTATCTCGCCTCGGACTTCCACCACAACGGCGCCCTGGACGCAAGACTTGCCTTCGTGTGTGTGTGTGTGTGTGTGTGGTGTGTGTGTGTGTGTGTGTGTGTGTGTGTGTGTGTGTGGGTGTGTGTGTGTGTGTGTGTGTGGGTGTGTGGGTGTGTGGGTGTGGGTGTGGGTGTGGGTGTGGGTGTGGGTGTGGGTGTGGGTGTGGGTGTGGGTGTGGGTGTGGGTGTGGGTGTGGGTGTGTGTGTGTGTGTAGTGTGTGTGTGTGTGTGTGTGTGTGTGTGTGTGTGTGTGTGTGTGTGTGTGTGTGTGTGTGTGTGTGTGTGTGTGTGTGTGTGTGTGTGTGTGTGTGTGTGTGTGTGTGTGTGTGTGTGTGTGTGTGTGTGGGGGCGTGTGTGTTTGTGTCTGTGTCTGTGTCTGCGTCTGTGCGTGTTCTGTTTGTTTCAGAGGGGTGTTTTGTGGGAGGCTGGCTGGTTCCGAAAGGGTTTTGGTTTAGAGGGTGAAGACAGTGGCTTTTTGTGACATGTAGCACCTGCATTGTTTATCAGACCCGTGTAATGATTCTCATTGCACAGTTAATCCTGAAACCCTTTTCTAACTTTTCACATGCCTGCGGCTTCGGCCGTCGTTCTTTGAGTTTCTTGGTAAAGTTGGGCAGGTGACTTGATCGACTACTTCGATCCATGGCAGATCAACTATGGAAAGATCTACGGTGTCATGGATGACTTGCGACTGGAGCATGCTCGGGTGCCCCGCCGCAAAGAAATGGCTACAGGATTCCGGGCTTCGGGCTCAGGGTAGTGTAGAGGCATTAACAATCAGCATAGGCTGTCGGGGTACATAATAAACCCTAAACCCTAAACCCTAAACCGTGGTCATAATGCTATAGCTTCAACTATCATAATGAGCCCCACCATAGTGACCTAGGAGATCTCTGGAGTCGAAACCCGAAGGCTCCATGTTGCTAGCTATGCTGTGCATACCGCGGATGCTTTCAATAAGAAACGAGCAGGTGTTGGATTAGACCCTAAAAAAAATTGAAATTCGGGGGCATGTCTATGATACGAAATTTGAGGTTGGCTCAGTGTCTGAGTAAATTTGACGAAATGGTCCCGGCCTCCCATTCGCTCCTGTGCTTCGAGCTCTCCCGCCCTCCAGCTCCAGCCCTCCAGTCCAGCGGAGGGGGTTGGAGAGTTGCAGGGTCCCAGAGACTCCAATATCCCTTAATTAAGGAATATACCTCAAATCATATTAGGGATCCTACTCTAATTTAGGGAATATTCTTTAATTAAGGGATATTGGAGTCTCTGGGGTTGGAGGACTGGAGGGCTCGAAAGGTTAAGAATATTTGTGCAACCTAAACGCTGGGCTAAGAAGTTTCAGTCTCACCAGGCCCTCACTTGTTGTTCGGAAAGATTTCCCATTGAAGGCGTTCACTGCACTTAGGTCCTGAGGTACTCGTACCTATATAGGGACTAATTAATTGCTTGGAAGGCCTAAGTAGTTACTATATAGCGGTCGATGGACGGACAGACCAAGCTGCCCCAAATACCTCCGAAAGCCAGCGCAATAGCCGAGGTGCAGCAAAAGTACATCGCCATGACGAAGGCTCTGATTGAGAGCGCAGACGTCGACGGCTATCGTGTGGACACGCCGATGCAGGCGGACGAAGGTTTTTGGCAAAGGGGCTCTATGAACGGGTTCGTTTGGCCTGCTTTTTTTGTTTTTACGGGGATTACATGTTGAAAGGATGCTGTTTGTCAGGAGTCTACCTTTGGGGGTCGATACTAGGGCCCCTCATTTCCAATCCGCTACAGCCTCCCAGCCCGAGAGCCCGAAATCAGTTTGGGCTCGACTAAGGTTGTGTGGAGTGCTGCGGTTATGTAGCTTGGTTTTCTGCATTCCTGTATAGGGCCACTGGGTTAGGGTTTAGGGCTACCCTAAACCCTAAACCCTTTTGCACTGGCTCTCTGCGCTCTGCGTAGTTTCAGAAAACTCTGGGGTGCATGACTTCTGCGTCCTACCGCAGGCGCCAAAAGACTATTGCTATCATTAAGGGGCATTAATAATTACCTGCACTGTTTTCCTTATCATATTTCTAGTAAATATTAGTATAGATAACATGCCCCAAAACCCTATCCTAATTATCACGGCTCCTATAGTATAACTATACACCCGAAGCACCATGACAATGTTTGTGGGTGTGCAGAAACCTAAGCTTTAAGCACAAAAGTGTTTTGGCCTATGTGTCCCTGCACAGCAGGATGCCAGAAGTTTTTTTTATGGATGCTTCGATGGAGAATGGGGTTTGGGGGTGTCGGGTTTAGGGTTTGTCGGGATCGGGCTTGCTTGTGGCATGGTTTAGGCTTAGCTTAAGGGGTGGCCCTGACTCACCAAAGTCGCAGCAAAGCCTGGACTCAACCGCAGGAGAAACCGTAAAGCTCTAAGTCGCGGAAGCTAACTAATAAGAAGCAAAGAATAGGCCGCTGAAGTTATTTACTTTATTCTTGGGGTTAGTTTCATAATGCCAATTACAGTCAGGTTCGTACCAGGGAGGCAGACAGGATCGCTAAATTCTGCAACTCCTCTCCTAGCTGTAAGCTTCTTAACCCTGAGGTCCATGTTAATCCATATTATGCTGCGGCCCTTGAATATTGGCCTTATTGGACTTTGAACAAAGATTGCCAAGCACAGTTCCTGTAGCATCCCTTCTGGAACGGCACTAATTATCGCCCCTTGCACCCGGAACCTTACACCTTCAATGCTAAACCATATAACCCCCCTATATGGCCCTTAAACCTCCTCTAAAGCCCTTGTAGGTGCCTTTGAACTTCTATAAAGTCTGGGCGCCTGCGATGAGCAACTTGGCATCGTCATCTCGGCCTTCTAACATGTTGTGCGGTTCGAGGCTACCACAAACCCTGAATCCCAAACCTCTTAGCCTAAGGTCTGTAGTAGTGGTAGTAGTACTAGTACCAGTAGTAGTAGTAGTATTGTGGGGAGTATATGATAAACATTAGGTTGAACCCGGAGAGTTTTCAAAGAGGCCCGCGGAAGACAGGAACCCAGGATGCTTGGCTAGGGCCAGATCTGGGGGTTGGAGTCCGTCTCGTTCCTTGAAGTCTTGGAGTTAAGTTTGTAGTAGGGTTTAGGGTTTAGGGGTTTAGGGTTTAGGGTTTCTTGACAAAGCCCTGTTCTAATTACGTTAACTAGCTCCTAGATAGACTCTTGAACGTGAAGCCGCCACCATGAAGGCTGATACTTGTGGGGTCCAAAGTGAAGCGTGGACGTGCAGATAGCACGGCTCGACCACAGGTGCGAATTCATGGCATGCACCCTGGAAGCCATACCTTCCCCTGAGTCTGGGTGTGAACCACCTGTGTCAGGAAGTGCAGGGTTTAGGGGGCTGACGTAGGGATAATGACGTAGGAAGACCTCTAAGCCACCACCCAAACGGCTTTCAGTGGGGTCAGGGATGCAAAGCTGCACTCATCTGAGGAGCGCATGCCAAGTCTCTGGGAAAGGAGCGGTTCGGCATCTTCGGTGAGTTCTACGCATCTTTGTCGAGCAACTACGGGAGGGCCAGGGTTCGGGTTTGAGCTTCAGCATTGAGAATGTCGATATTCATATACCCCGAAACCAATCGTCTCAATCCCAGGCCTAACTCACAAACCTTACTCCAGCACCGAATTGTCTATTGCTTTGTGCTTTACTATATTGTGTTATAGTAGTATAATCATGTTATATGTCATAGTCACAGACAGAAAGAACGGCCCCCCCCCCTCATGATTGCAATGCACACGGACCTCAAGACTTTGTGCCCCGAAACCGAAACTACTGAGCTCAGACACGCTTGAACCCTGGACCCCTCAACTACCAGCTTGCAAAACTACCTCCAGATCTCCGTCTGTATTTCCTTACGAAGCTAGGTGTTTCTGGTGCTACCAGTACATCCCAAAGCCCCCAAACCCTAAACCCTACGCCGCCTACGCCCTAACCCGACAACCTACCCTAAGGGTCCATGTACCCAAATAGTATATACTTTGGGCCCAATGTACCCATATAGGGACTACATTAAGGCCAATGTATATACTATTTAGGTACATGGACCCTTAGGGATACACAGAAAACCCTAAATCCCGACAACACCCACAACACCAAAGGCCCTAAACCCACCCCAAAACCGCAAAAAAAAACCCAAAACCCTAAACCACAAAAATCCTCCCCAAAACTCCTATAAACCCCCCTCAAAGCCCCTAAACCCCCAAAGCCCCCAAAACAACTCAAAGCCCCTAAACTCCCTAAAGCCCCCATGAGCTGTCTCGGACTGGCGAGGTAACTCCGGCCCGGTATGCAACCCGGCCTTTTAAGGGCTCCTTTAAAGGGCTTAGGGTTTAGGGAGCTCGTTTATAGGTATAAGCCCCTTTAGAGTGCTTAGGGTTTGGGGTTTATAGGGTTTAGGGAGTTGCTTTAAAGGTATCTTCAAAGGAGTCCTTGGAGGATTTTCTTTAGGGGTTCCTTTGGTATGCAACCCGGCCTTTTTGAGGGTTCCTTCAAAGGGCTTAGGGCTTAGGGTTTTCGAGGGTTTACGTAGGGTTTTCGAGGGTTCAGGGTTTACAGGGTTTAGGGTTCAGGGTCTAGGCTTTAGGGTGTTCAAGGGTTTAGTCTTTCGGGTTTTCAAGGGTTCAGGGTTTACAGGGTTTAGGATTTAGGGCTTAGGTTTTAGGGAGGTGCCTTGAAGAGTTCCTTCAAGGGTCCAGGGTTTAGGGTTTAGGGAGTTCCTTTAAAGGTATCATTGAAGGAGCCGCTTGAGGATTTTCTTTAAGGGGTTCCTTTAGGGAGTCCTTTAAAGGTACCGTCAAAGGAGTCCGTTAAGGATTTCCTTTAACAGGGTTCCTTTGAAGTTTCCTTTAAAGAGTTCCTATAAGTAGCCTATAAGCCTATAAGGGTACCTTAAAGGGTTCCTTTAAGCAGTTACTTTCAAAGAGTTCCTTGAAAGTTCCTATGAGGGTACCTTTAAAAGGGTTCCGTTGAGGAGTTGCTTCTAAAGAGTTCCGTCAACTAGTTTCTCTAAGGGGTCCTTTGAGCCTTCCACAAGGGTCCTTTCAGAAACTTTGTGTTTTCCTTCACGGTTCCTTTAAAGGAGCTTTCTTGACTGTCAGGGTTTCAGGTTTAGGGTGGTTTTAGAGGCTTGAGGGTTTGGGGTTTAGGGGTTTGCGCAGGGTGTAAGCAAGCGTTGGGGTTTACAGGTTCTGGATTTAGAGTCTTAGTAGGTGTTTTCGGCTTTTAGCCTTGAAGGGATTCAGGGATCTACGGGTTCATGACTTTAGGGTTAAGGTTGAATACCCTAGAACAGGGGGGCGGTTTTTGAGCCACGAGGCTTCACAGGTTTGGCTACCGCTCGTGCTGTACTACGAATGACCACTCCCAAACCCGAATCCCTGGATACTGTAGTAGAAGCCGGAAAGTTGGAACATCATTCTCCTCATGCCCTTAAGGTAAACTATAAGGGATCCTAGCACGAATCCTCCTGAAGACATGTTCCAACTTTCTGGCTTCTACTTACACCCTAAACTGTATACTGCTAGTGCAGCTAAGTTGCGATGATTGCTGTTCCTATATTAATCATTGCTGGATTTGACAGGGTCGTGGTGCCAGGGATTCTGCTGTCACTCATGCAGAGTTTGACGCTGGCCCCGGGATCAGAGTCGCCAAAGAGCATTTTACCGGGATATCCCTACCTTGTTGGGCTTCTTTTTCAGGGGGGTTGTATGGGATATCACTATCCTAATTTTTGCTTATGTGCTTTTTTGGGGCCCTATAACCACGGGGATGAATTCAGAACACACATCCCTTGTTCCATACCTTTTTGGTTCGTCTGGGGGGTACAGTGGCTAGCTTGGCTGATCGTGTAAAGCTGAGGGCATGCAAGCCTTCAACCCTAAACCCTAAACCCTAACCCTAAACCCTAAACCCTAAAACCCTAAACCCTAAACCCTAAACCCCTAAACTAAACCCTGAACCCGAGTGGCTTAAACAAGCTTCGGTGCTGACGAACCCTGAACCCTAAAGCTGACTCGAGCCAAGGCAACGATGACAGGAAGAGGCCGGCATGGCATTTTGCAATATAGGTGGCTGCATAATTACCTATACCATTGAGGGGGGTTCCTTACTCTACTTCTTTGTCATAGATGGGTAGCATTTTACAATATGGGTACTTAAACCCATTAGGTAATCAAAATGTAAAGTTTTAATCCTGTCCCAACCATGAACTAGACTTGCGGTACAATATACCACAAAACCCTATTCTAATGATCAAGGCTCGTATACTAAATTCTTATCATAGTCCCCGTATAGTAGCCCTTATAGGACCCTTCAAAGGAACCCTATTCTAAGTATTAAGGCCCAGGTAGGTTAAGGTCATTGGTTCTGAGGTTTAGGTGCTGAGCCCGCAACCCGAAGCGTCGAACCGCCAGTCCCCGAAAACTCGACACCCTACCCCCCAAACAGGCTACATGGCTTCAGGGTTTCGAAATCTATTCGGGATAGTATTCAACATCAAAACAACGAGCCTGGCAGTCAGAAACCTGATCCCAGACAAAGTGAGGCGCCCTATTCAAGTCAGGGTTTTTGTTCAGGGTTCTGGGTTTAGGGTTCAGTTTAGGGTTCAGAATCGTTGCAACATGACCCCCAGTGCCCCCAGTTTCATAGAGCTGAATTTCGGGCCGTATAGCTACAGGGTCCTGAATGCTCATGTCGAGTTTGGGGGGGGTGCAGCAGGGACCAGTTGATGTGCTACGTTGTCCTTTCAACTCGACTACAGCGCATGTCACGGCTGCCAGCGTTGCTTGACAAGGTTAAAAAGGTGCTGATGATGTTGATACTCGCGATGACGGCGATGAGGATGACGATGACGATTACGCCGCTGGTATTGGTTATCTGTGACGTTGAGTTGAGAGAGAGTGAGACAGGGAGAGTGAGAGTGCCAATTCAGGTTCGACAAACAGGAATGGCTAGACTGTCTACGAGCCGAATATGAACGCCTCAACAGGCCCCTGGAGCACTTCCAGTACTCCCCAGCGCAAGCAAAGGAGCACGTCCGTCGATTGATGAGTTCTGGTGCTGAGGATGCTGCGCCGGCGGCAACGGGTGAGAATCCCGCAGACGCCCTAGTTGTAGCCGAGGAGGAGCCTGGCCCGAATCCGGAACCGGTGCCGGTGAGAGATGAAAGCTACGAGGCCCGTTACCGGTCTGGCAGCTGGCAACTTGTCCAGCCAGACAGCGATGGCGAGGTGACCGGCTCAGAAAGTCTGCCACCCCTCGAACTCGACCCTCAACCATAAACCCCTAAACCCTAAACCGACGGACAGGGATATTGGCAAACCGTGGCTCTGGAGACACGCGAGCTTGTGGTTTGGCACGGAGGAGACCAGGACATCGGCGTTGCAGCGGTTTTTCCAGCTGTAGCTGGTTTGGTCGGCGGCGCTGGCGGGGCTGGTTCAGGGTTTATCGCTTCCAGTTCATATTACAATACAGCTCTGGCATGTATCATACAACCCCCCAAATCTCTTGATTCAAGTTATTGAGAAACCCTAAACCCTAAACCCTAAACCAGAGTGTGCTGTTGCTAAAAACTTGCAAGGTCTTTGGGCTTGTGGGCAGCATCGCCTGCCAGTTGGTGCTTTCAAGACGGGGAAGGCATAGGACTATAGGGGCTTCAACTAGCTATGCTATTTTGGGTGTTCCTTGCTATAAATGTAGTATAGCGTACCCCAAAATCCTGTTCTAACTATTCAGGTCCCTATACTAGCTGCTCATGCTGGGTAACCTGCTTCTAGACCGCCTCCTGAGCCGTAATTTAGGATAAGGGTTTAGGGATGAGGGTTTGGGGTTTAGGGTTGGGGTTTAGGGTTTGGGGTTTAGGGTTTGGGTTTGGGTTTAGGGTTTGGGGATTTTGTGCTGAATGTTGCGGTGACTTGGACCGAGGCAGGGACAACACCATGTACGGCCAAGCCAGATACATTGACGACATTTCCACCCTGAAGGGAGGCATTGTGCCACTCGGACTCGGTTTTCGCGCGGGAGCTACTCAGGGGAGCCTCTTCAGTTTGAAGCCGCGCCCGTTTTGCTTCACGTAGCCGAGTAGGAACCGGGTGTAGAATGGGAGACTGCTTCTTCAATGGGTGAAAAAGGGGTCGGAGTAGGAACCAAGAAAACACCCTGGTCCTCATATAGTTACAGTCATAGTATACCAAGAAACCCAAGTTCAGCTGAAAGTTCAACGGATGCACAAGGCATCCTCAGCTTCGTTCGCACCGGACTTATGTCCGCACACGCCAAGAAACCCTATTCTAGTTATTAAGTGCCCGATGCAAGGGAGAGCCTTCGACTGTTTCGGATGTTCGGCCGTGTGTTTACAATCTCCGGCTTGTCCAGAGAGTTATTGAATGCAAAGCCAACTCTTCAGCAGACTTTTGACGCGCAGGTTCGAACCGTGACTTGTGATCCCTTAGAAACCCCGCTTGGCTCAGGTATCCGTATTACTGGTACATCTTCACATCTATGGTCTACAACGATGCGCAGTATGCCGACGGTCTTGCGTGTTCCGGCTGCATATATATATATATATATATAAGAGAGAGAGAGAGAGAGAGAGAGAGAGAGAGAGAGAGAGAGAGAGAGAGAGAGAGAGAGAGAGAGAGAGACTTGGAATCTCAATTAGCGAGGCCCACGGGGGATGTTGTCCTGAATCGGGACTCCCTAAGCTGCATTGTTTTATGTTTTCTTCCACGGTTGCGCAACATTTTTGTTTAAAATACCCCAGAGGCTTTACATTCACGAGTTGTCGGGGCTCCTTTTCGTGTTAGTCTTGTTGCCCGGGTAGACCAACTCGAAGTCCAAGAAATGTGAGTTTACCGTTTAGGGATAGTGTAGAAGCATCGGAGGGGTGTCATATTAGGAGCCTCCATAAATTTCCACGATGCCGTTCAGACTCCCACATTAAGTTGTGCAGGACATACCCAGAGGATCATGGGACTTAGCAAGTAGGGTTATACGTAAGGTTACTATAGTTATAGCATGTTATAGCTACTTATAACCCCAATGAAGGTACTTACAACCTTACTTACTAAGTCCCATGGTCCTCTAAGTAATCCCCAAAGACCCCTGTCCGACCCACATCAGCTTTTGGGTTTTAGACTGACAGCTTGGGGGAACCTTTATAGAAGTTGGTCGTTGAGGATCATGAATGTCTCTACCGGAGCATCCGAAAATCGAAGACTACTGTAGGCCGCTTCCAAGTAATACTTTGTTGTTTTGGTTGGCTATTTTGCGTCATCTACGCAGGAAGTGTTTGTCCCAAGTCATGGTTCTGCAAGTCAGGTCTAGGTGCGATTCAGGTTTCGGCAGAAACTATTAAGGGTTAGGTTTAGGGTACAGGGTTTAGGCTGGGCTCTTGTTAAGGATTTTATTTTGAGTTACCAAGATAGGGATCTGTCGTAAATGATGTTTTTGTCTTGTGTGGGTAACTTCGGTTTAGTTCCTGGAAACAAGAACCCAGAGTCGCCCCCAGATCTTATACTCCCTGGTGTTGAGTAGGGAATGGGGGAATGGGTTGTGTGGACTAGTATTGTAGGGACTATATACTGTAGGTTGCCTACTAATAGTTTTCAACGGCTTTCAAAGCACCTCCTAGTAAAGAGCATAAGCTGCGTGGAACCCCTCAGCGCCTTCGAGCCCATACAGCCGCTGAATCCAGGTTGGCATACAAGGAGGAGAACAAGATGATCGACATCTTTGACCCAACAACGGGCCGAAACGAGTGGCGGGAGCTTTGTTATTTGTTTTGTAGTGAAGCGTGGTTGAAGCTTGAACAGAGTCCCGAGGACTGCCTACTATAGAAGGCTTCAGTTGTGACATTCAGCCAGAAAGACCCTAAGCATTCCAAAGCTGCGCTGAATCCCAGACTGGGGGCAGATACCCCTATAGTAAAAGCCAGAAAGTTGGAGTATGATTATCCTAAACCCTTTATGGTAAATTATAGGGTATCCTACCCTGAAACCATATTCCAACTTTCTGGAGTTCCCTTTAAACCGTAATCATGTAACCCGGATCAGCCCTAAACCCTGAAACCCTGAGCCCATTGAGCCTCAAAAGTCCACGCAGCCGTAGTAGATCCGCCGCTTCCAGGCACATGAGCACCAAACGTACCTAAACTCTCCATTGTAGCGCCCTTTCCGGGTTACATTTGCAAGAGCCAAAACACATGTGAGATGAAATTGGCTAAACCAAAGAAGGGCTTCGTGTTCTGTTTTTTTTTTTTTAACAGGCTGTTTGATTAGGTGTTTTGTTTCAGGCTTCCCTTAACCCTATAAACCTCAGACTTTTGTAGCTTTTCGGTCCTTGGTTATGGACTTGGCGTAGGTGATATCAAGCCATTCTGGGAGACCCTCTCCTTCGTCTGGGTTCTCGTTAAGGAGTTGGTTACTATTCAGGGAAGTTCAGGTTGTAGGGTTTAGGAATTATATGGCAACTTACAGTAGAAGCCCGAAAGTTGGAAACCCGATAGCCTCAATCCGTAAGAGTAATGTATAGGGAATCCCAGCGCTATTCGGCCTCTATCCGGTTTCCAACTTTATGGGCTTCTACTGTAGAATAAAACCCTGAAGAGGAACCCAAGTGCCCCAAACCCTAAACCCTAAACCCCAAACCCTAAACCCTAAACCCCAAACCCTAAAACCTAAACCCCAAACCCTAAACCCTAAACCCTAAGGTATGCCATGTGGACCTTCTGCAACAACCACGACAACTGGCGTATGCAAAGTATGACGGGGAAGTCGCTGTGTTGAACTGGAAGGCTTTAGGGTAAAAGGAGGGACCCTTCATAAGGACCCCTAGGTATACACCCTTAATATAGCTATGATATACCCATTATATAGCCCATTATAGGGTAGGGGTCCCCATTAAGGGTCCCTCCTTTTCCTCTTTGATAGACGGCTTTGGGGCTCTTCTGGCTGGCTCTTAGGACTTTAACTTTTTGGGTTTAGTGTTTTTGGGTTGTTTATGTGAAGTATAGAAAGTATAGTTTAACTTGTAGGAGGGGTTCAGAAGTCAGCCAAGGGATCGGTTAGGGCTTGGGAATATCGCTGAGCGTCCGTCATATCCAAGTAGATGGACAAATACATGTGTCGTGTGATGTGTCGCCAGTCTACTTTGGGTCTATCCGAGTCTATCCCTCGAACAAATACACTTTACAGCCCGGTTACTGGAGTTCAGCTGTTTCCACGAGGTTGATGTGCACCAATTTCTGAGGACCCATGGGCGGTTACATACACCCAAAACCCTAAACCCTATTCCAGCAGAACTGCGAGTGCCTAGAGGATGAGGATTGCAAGTCTTTGGAAATGACGAACCACCGCGTCTGAGGGATGCAAGTATGCTGGGTGCAACCTGACCTTTTAGCCTGACCCTGAGCCTGAAACCCATTTAGCTCCTGAAGCTATTGAAGGCCGAAACCCTGCGCCCTGAAAGTCAGGTCCTACAGCAACAAGCTGTACTCCTGCGGAAACCCTAAACCCTAAACCCATTTGCCTTATAGACTCCGAACACTATGAGCCTTAGTCCCTGACGCCCGAGTCAACCCCATCAGTAGCATAAGCCCTAAACCCTGTAGACCCTTTAACAATCCCCGTAAGGCCTAAGCCGTAAACCCAACAGCCTAGAACCCTAAACCCTAAGAATCCCCACAAGCCCTAAACCCCTGGGCCCTAAACCCTAAACCCCAAAAATCCCCATAAGCCCTAACCCAGAGGGTCCAAGAGCACTCGGCTACTATAGGACTTTCGGGCCTTTTTAGGTACCAAAAACCATAAATGAGGACTACCTGGACCCTTAGGGTAAAGATGTCTTTGTGCGGCCGAGGGCTCACTTCCACATGTGCCTAGCGGTGATTACCTTCTGGCCTGGTGTGCCCTTACACTACGCAGGCTTTGGGACCTCGTGGGCTTCTCTCTAGGGATCCTTTTGGGGTTTCCTTTAAGAGTTCCTTTTTGGGGTTTCCTTTAAGGGTTCCGTTTGGGGTTTCCTTGAAGGGTTCCTTTTGGGGTTTCCTTTAACGGTTCCGTTCGGGGTTTCGTTTACGGGTTCCGTTTGGGGTTTCCTTTAATGGTTCTGTTTGGGGTTTCCTTTAATGGTTCCGTTTGGGGTTTCCTCTAAGGGTGGCTTTGGGGGTTTCCTTTAATGGTTCCGGGTTTCCTTTAATGGTTCCGTTTGGGGTTTCCTTGAAGGGTTCCTTTTGGGGTTTCCTTTAACGGTTCCGTTCGGGGTTTCGTTTACGGGTTCCGTTTGGGGTTTCCTTGAAGGGTTCCTTTTGGGGTTTCCTTTAACGGTTCCGTTCGGGGTTTCGTTTACGGGTTCCGTTTGGGGTTTCCTTGAAGGGTTCCTTTTGGGGTTTCCTTTAATGGTTCCGTTTTCGTTTACGGGTTCCGTTTGGGGTTTCCTTTCATGGTTCCGTTTGTGGTTTCCTTTCATGGTTCCGTTTGGGGTTTCCTTTAAGGGTTCGTTTCGGGGTTTCCTTTTGGCGCACCTATAAGGGTTTCCTTTAGCACTCCTTGAAAGGTTTCGGGTGTCAAGGTTTTTAGGGGTTTGGGTTGTAGGGTGCAAACCCTAAACTCTAAACCCCAAAACCCTAAACCCTAGCTCGTTAGGCTTTTCGGGTTTTTCGGGGTTTGGGTGGCTTTTGGTTTCGGAGATGGGGAGTTTCAGACTCTAGGGCTTAAGGGTTTAGGGCTGAGGGTTTAGGGTTTACTTAGGGGTACTTAGAAATATTTTATTTGTTTTTGGGTTATTATAATCCCTAAGAACAGCTAAAATTGTATTTTTTGCTAGGGTTCTAAGTTCAGTATAGTTTACGGCTTGCAAGGCCGCAGGCCATAGGACGGAAGCTTTTGAGCAGGGTGTGGAGCTTCGGGATGAGGGTTACTTGGAGGTTCATCGGTAGTGTTAAGTAGGGTTATATAGCTAGGGGTAGCTATACTTATAACCCATATTAGGGGACTTATAACCCCGGTTTATAACTGCCCCTGAACCTTCAACCCTAAACCCTAAACCGCATGGTGCAGGTGACGAGCAAGACTTCGACACCCCTGGATCTGCTTTGGATGGCTGGTCCCGTGAGGCCTCCCCCCACCCCAGCGCCGGGGAGGGTGCTTTAGGGGTCTGGGGTTTGGGATTTAGGGATTTGGGGTTTGGGATTTAGGGTTTCAGGGTTTAGGGGTATAGGGGTTTGGGGTTTAGGGTTTAGGGGCTTGTTGGTTTGTTTGGTTGTTCGAAGTTTTTTCCTTAGTTGGTCAGGTAGGTCGTTAGTTTGGTGGTGAGCTAGTTAGTTAGCTAGCTCGTTAGTTCGTTTATTCGGTAGTTAGTTCATTTAATGATAATTTCATGGATTGATTGGCTGGTTGCGGTTTTGATTCATTCCTTGATTGAATGAATGATGTAACGATTTAACTGGTTGGTTGAGGGGTTGGGTGCGTGCGTGCGTGAGTGAGTGAGTGAGTCATAGTGTGCGTGCTTGCTTGCTTGAGTCCTTGCTTGCTTGCGTGCTTGCATGCTTTGCTTGCTTGCCTGCCTGCCTGTCTGCCTGCCTGCCTGCCTGCCTGCCTGCTTGCTTGTGTGCGTGATTGTGTGTTTCTTCGTTGATGATTTCGTTAATTGGTTCGTTCGTTTGTATGTTTTTTTTTTTTTTTGTGTGTGTGTGTGTGTGTGTGTGTGTGTTGGTCAGGTCTGGGTGTTTGGCGTGCTATATGATGTATGCTACAACAAAGGTGCCTGCAGTTGGCAACTGTTGAGTCACCTACACTACACTCTTGGAGTTGAGCTTTTGGGTGTGAATTTTAGATAAACCCTAAACCCTAAACCGCCTAAATCCTAATCGAAATCTCAGCTGGAGCCGTAAACTCTAAGCCCTATAACCTAATCTCAGCCGGAGCATTTCCGAGAAACTGAACCTTCGGATGTTGACCCGAGCCTTGGTGCTCCACTGCCATTATCCCCTAAACCCTAAACTCCCTAAACCCCTTAAGCCCTAAACCCCTCAAACCCTAAACCCCTCAACCTTCAAACCCTAAGCCCCCAAATCCCTAAACCCCTAAACTCCAAACCCCAAACCTGAGACGCTAAGCTTTAAACGCTAGGAGCTGAGCGCTTCGTTGGCCTGGCGTGCCGTGCCCACTCAACCAGGCAAGGAGCTTGAGAATCAGGGCAATGTAGGGGCCTTAATTTCCTATAGTAAGGTTCCTTTAAAGGGGTCTTTAAGGGCTACCATAATTAAGGGCTACTATCCAAAACCGGTTTGGAGTGTTGAGATCAGGATCTTGGGTTTAATGTAGAATCTTAAAGCCTAAATAATTTCCTTGGGGTTCCTTATTATATAGTCTTAATTAAGGAGCCCAGAACCCTGTTCTAATTACTAAGGCTACTAAGGCCCCTGCATAAGGTCTCGGGCTTGGGGCTTACAGGGCTTTGGGTTGAGGGATTTTCGGGTTTTGGGATTTATCTTATTAACTTATGATGGATAAAGCTTCAGGATCTCGTCTGCCGACAGCCGACAGTAATGCAGTAAGCCCCTAAATCCTAGACCGCTTCAGCATAGAACTCGAAGGCCTAATTTGGAATGTCCCCGAGCGCAAGGACGATCATGGGACTTAGTAAGTAGGGTTGTAAGTACCTTAATTGGGGTTATAATTATAAGTAGGTATAAAAATAGTTACCCTACTTATATAACCCTACTTACTGAGTCCCATGGTCCTCTACGTGAGCACATCTCTGGAAAGCCGCAAAAGCCGCCAGCTTAATCTTACCTTGGGTTAGTAGGGAATGGAGGAATGGGGTACAATTATAACTACTATTGCTACTATTCTTCCATTCCCTACTAACCAAAGGTAAGTAATTCAAGGATCGATACTGGGGTTGAAAGGGTCGGGGCTGCAGGTGTTTTGCGATTATCTGCGGGAACATCATGGGGTAGGTTTGGGTTTAGGGGATATATAATAATAAGCTATATGGGATACAGTTGGGGCCATTCCGCGATTCCCAATAGCTGGATCACTCATTTGGCTTCAGGCGGAAATCCTGCCGACGGCGATAATTTCGACTCCTGGCACATGGGGTGTCGGCTTCAATCCGAAGCCTGAGGCTTGAAGGCTCGTCAAGGTGATGGATGAAATATAGGGCCCTTAATAATTAGAATGGGTTTTGGCGTATATTATACCAAAACTATATCATAACAGAGAACCCCCAAAACCCTATTCTATGTTAAGGCTCCTACATTATGCCTCCTCATTGCTTGGCTGGGCTTGATCACTAGGGCGTGTGGAAGCTCAGCTACCACTTGCCAGCAAAGCATTCCGAAGGTTTGCAATGTGTGTCGAGATGTGGTTTAGGGAAGTTTAGGGTTAACGGTCTTAAACCCTAAACACTTGGCTCAGCTCAATGTTCTACGTATCCATTGTGGCCCCAATCGGGCTTTCTTTGGGAGTGCCCCGGTTAATGGTTCATTCATTTATTAGGTGTGTACTTGTCTAAGGGGTTGGGCTGCGGTCAAGGACGATTTAAGGAATGTTGGGTGTAGGGTTTAGGGTTACCTGTAGCCCAGAAAATCTACCGTTGTCGCGAACGTATAGTAGATAACTTGCTCGGCAAAGGTAGGTCTTGCGGGCGACAGGAAATCTAGGGCCCCTGTTCGCTAGAGTAGGGCTGCAGTGTACTTATGTTGGGAAACCACGAGGGGATAGCAATACTGTGCTAGTTCTACCAACTAGGATGCCCAGTAGTACCCTTATTCCCTTTTTGTAGTCCTAGGTTCCTTATAAAGTTACCCAGTACCAAAAAAGGAGCCCTTTTTATTTCTAGGTCCCTGGGCATCGTAGGCAAGGAGATGAAGGATCGGAAGGTGCAGGAACTCGTGTGGAGGCCGAGCATGGCGCAACCCTGACAACGAAGCCTTTTCCTATCACTAGGGTTTAGGGTTGAGGATTTAGGGTTTGAGGGTGTAGCATTTAGGTTTTAGGGTTTCAGGATTTCGGGGTTTGGGGTTTAGGGTTAATCATGAAGGTCCAAAACTGTGTCTCCAGACTCTGCTCCAGCATCTTTTGAAAGAGTCAGGTGCCACTAGGAGCTTTGGAACTGAAAACCCGTTCGTCTAAAGAGCTCTAAAGTATAGCGGGGTGATAAGGTATTTAGAAAGATTTGAAAGCATTTATTGCTTGCTCTCTTGTGTAGTGTGGGAGGTTGGGGAGGGGGTTCTCTGTATGAAATGATTGAGGGTTTGAAGTAGATCCTCTGCACCTGCCAAGGACATGACCAAAGCTTCATATCGTTACATCGCCCGTCTCAATGGTTTGAGGGACGCGCAGCTTGGCAACAGCATGTGAAATTCGAACCGGCAGCTGTTGGGTGTGTACCGTAAGGTTAAATCCGAATGACAGTCGCAGCCATAAGCCCTAAACCCCAGGTGTAGCCCAGACGCTTGACTACATGTCCTTAAGCAGTGCTACAAGGGGAAGCTCTAGATCTAAAGCTTCAAGACCCACTTGTATACCGGAGCGAGGGGGGGTGCTGGGTTGAGGGGTTTAGGGTTTATAATTGGGGACCCAACAAGCTCATAAGTATAGGGCGTTTTACAGGGTTATCCTTGTTGGGTTTCATCATGATATAAGGGGGTTCACAGGGGACATCCTTGTCCTATATAAATGTTTGCTGATGTGCTTTCTGGGGCTCTACATAGAACATATAGCTGTAAACCCGATCTCAGCTATTCTTCAGACGGGTGGCCTCGTACAAGAACCTCTCTTATTTACGATCCGGTTGACGAGCCCATGGTCCGGAGAGCTCAAAAGAACAGGTTGCGGCGTAGGGCGGCTGAGAGATTTATAGTGAACCCCAGAAAGTTGGAACATGGATTTAGGAGGATTAGTGCTAGGATCCCCTAGACTTTACCTCTAAGGCCATGAGGATATTGATGTTCCAACTTTCTGGCTTCTACTGTATGGCTGCTCGTTGAGTTTCGGGTTTGGGTTTGGATCTACTTGGTAGCTGAGTAGGTAACCTTATACCTTTTCGGGTTTCTTTATCCTACCACAATTGACAAGGTTAACCTTCTTTGGGCTAGGGGACCCAGCTCGTAACTTTATAGTAGAAGCCAGAAAGTTGGAACGTTAGTATCCTCATGCCCTTAAGGTAAAGTATAAGGGATCCAGCACTAATCCTCCTAAACCCATGTATCAACTTTCTGGAACTCGCTATAGGACTGCTAAGCTTGACAGAATTGAACCCCAAACTCTATACCCTAAAGAAGACCTATGCCCTGACCCCAAGCAGCCAAGGTATTTGGGCAGTTTTGGCAACGAGATCTGCGACCAGGCGCGCCAGATCGGAGTACATGTATTGTACGGGCCTAAACAATTTTCAATACTTTTTTGGGGGTTGGATCCTTTTTGTATAGCAAAATATATGCCACTTCGAATTAGACTTGGGCTTTGGGGTGTATTAACGAGGAACCACCAAAGTATCATTGGTAATTATTCAGGCTACTACCGTAGTCTCAGGATTTGCAGGATGTGGGGTTCTGGGGTTAAGGACATTGGGTGTAGGAGGGAAGATTAAAGGCTCAAAGGGGAAATTGGGTTCACCAAGGTTTATATCGAGCGTGGTTCTACACGGGGTATTGTATAATAAGCTTGTAGGGCTTGGGATATTAAAGTAAAAGCCAGAAAGTTGGAATATGATTATCCTAACCTTTCTATGGTAAATTATAGGGTATCCTACCAAGAAACCATATTCCAACTTTCTGGAGTTCCCTTTAGGGTTCAGGACCTACACCTTCGGGTTTTGATGCTTGGGTTCTTTCGTGTTGCACGGTTTGCTGATGTAGTTCCTGTCCTGATCGTTTGTTATGTACGACAAAGTAAAGAAGTAGATCATGTTGCGAATGTCCGCGATCGATGGATATTGATTATCATCTCCTAAATCCCTAAATTTGCCACAAAGTCCGACAGCCTAAAGCCCTAACATCCCCGAAGCCTAAATCTTGACTCTAAATGCCCTAGTAGTAGAGTAGTTAACCTTTAACCTTGTTTGGGTAGTAGAGTCCCTATATAATCCTTATCTACCCAAAAAGGTTAACCTTTAGTTCGTAACCTTTAGCCTTTTTTGGGGTAGTATAGTCCCTATATAATCCCTATCTACCCAAAAAGGTTAACCTTTAGTTCGTAACCTTTAACCTTTTTTTGGGTAGTATAGTCCCTATATAATCCCTATCTGCCCAAAAAGGTTAACCTTTAGTTCCCCCTGATACCCGACAAGTAGGTACTGCCATCATGGAATCAGGTCCCAAAAGACCATCGATATTATGGCTTTGGGGACATATTACGGTAATGGCCTAAACCCTAAACCCTAAAAACCCTAAACCTTAAACCCTAAACTCTAAACTCTAACCCCACAAATAAAATGCCGTGCACAGGTCCTCACTCCTGAACCACAGATCCCGGACGTCCTCGTCTTCGAGCGAGGATGCAGTGGGCACTTCGGCAGAAACCAAGATTAGAATTCGTATGGGTGGTTGTCAAAATTATGGTACCTTTTTGGGTCCCTATTTATATTACGGTATTAGTAAATTAGTATTCATACTTGAACAGCACTAGGGAGAATATTCAGCATGAATATCAGTAATATCAGCATTCCTACTAATGATAGTGTAAGAGTGTAAGTAGAGTTGTAGTCGTATTCGCATAAAGTAAAAGCCAGAAAGTTGGAATATGATTATCCTAACTTTTCTATGGTAAATTATAGGGTATCCTACCAAGAAACCATATTCCAACTTTCTGGAGTTCCCTTTAAAGATTAGGAGTCCGGGTCCAGTCCGGGTCCCACACAGGCTCAACTACTCCTCAGACCACGACCTGCCGTTGTATGAAAACCTTGTACACCTAGAGGCTCCTTAAAGGGAAAGGGATCTTTAAAGGGATCCTATAAGGGTTCCTTTAAAGGGATTAGGGTTTAGAGTTTCCGAAATTAAAGGGAACTCCAGAAAGTTGGAATATGGTTTCATGGTAGGATCCCCTGTAATTTACCATAGAAGGGTTAGGATAATCATATTCCAACTTCCTGGCTTTTACCCTATATGCTACCATGATGGAATTAGGCCCGCAAAAAGACCATCCATATTATGGCTTTGGGGACATGATTCCATCATGGTACTTTGTCTGGAGCTTCTAAAACTGCTGTTTTATCCTAAAAGGTCCAAGTACCAATCCCGTAGGTTCTTAGTAGCTTTGTGGGCCCAAGGTATATGCAATAATGTTACTTGAACCGTGTAGGGTTAATTGCAGAAACAGTCCATGTGTGCATGTGTGGCTTTCTCTATAGATATGCAGATGCACACGGCGTGCACGTTGAAATGTACCTCACTACCTATGTAGAATGCGAGCTACTTGCTAAACTTAATGCTTGGTTATGTCTTCGTTCGATTCGGTTGTGTAAAGTTCATGCGTCTCTTGTCGGTTCGTTGAACTAAGTATTCACAGATTTGCTGAGCTCTGTCTCTGTCTCTCTCTCTCTCTCTCTTGATGTGTCCGTCAAGGCGCTGGTATGTCAGTGAGTGAGTGCCTGTAGAAGTAGCTCGGAGCGAGGGAATCCATAATCATATGCAAGTGCCATTGATGGTGCTCGGTCTTCTATCCTGCTGCGAGTGACTTTACCAATTTTGGTTTATGGATTCTAAAAGGTTCCCAAGGAAAGGAACTACAGTGGAGACTATAGGTAGGGTGCAGGATTTAAGGGGCCCCGTCCCCCCCTCGCCCAGAGATCCCCTGAAGAACCAATCTATTTATTCAGTGAACTCTAGCAACAAAGCCGGAGCACCCCAAGCCAAACCCCAAACCCTAAACCGACAGACTCCGATCTCAGGTGCGTAACCCGAAACTCTGCACATTCCCACTTCAACTCACGTTCCTCTGCGCATGCCGCAACCGCAAGGTCAGCTCGGTGATCTTGCAAACTACCTTGTGCCAGCCTCCTCACCCTGAACCTCGAACCCTATACCCTTAACCCTTATGGCCCGTATAACCCTTCTATCCCTTCCAAGTTTGGTGCAAGGACGAACCGAATCCTCCTGCTGGCGAGTTTTCATCAAAACAGCAACTTGGACGAGGTTTTGAGGTCTACTGTGCTTGCAGGTGCTTTGCTACTAAGTCTGGTTAATCTATCATCATGTGGTAGCTTCGATTACACCAGCATCTGAATTGTGTTCATTTGTCAGGTGTCTGTATGCATAACTTAGATGTACATATAAGTATCTATTAACTGTGTATGTATGTATGTATGTATGTATGTATGTGCATACAGGTAGAGGCTATAGGCAGGCTGTTCGTGGTCGCCGATGACAACGCTGTCCATGTCCAAACAACTTTTACGCTTTTGGGGACCCGTGGAGTTCATTTTTGTGGCGATGGCGGCTTTCGGGGCGCGGTCTGTCGAGTTTTCGGTTTAGGGTTTACGGTTTAGGTTTGGAGTCCGGTGGTTGGGGCTTAGAGTTGAGGGTCTGGGAGTGGACTTGGTCTTTCAGATCGCATACAAAGCCTGCGATGAAGCCGAAACTCCGTTCCTGATGATACTTGCACTGTAGTAATTTAGGGTTTAGGGTTTAGGGTTTAGGGTTTAGGGTAACTGTAGTATAGCTCGAAAGCCAAGTCTAGAACTTCAGGTCCTTATACTGATCTGGAGTGGTAGGCTTAAGGAGTGGCTGTGGAGCCTACTGCCAGTTTTCCTGTGTTCCCTACATCTCACCTTTCTCACCCTCGCATCTCAAACACGGACCGGTGAATCCTTGTAAGTTCCGGAACCCCGAAGCAGTCATCCGTTTGGGATTTACAGTTTAGGCTTCTTTTGCAGCCCACTATGACATCTAGACACTGACATCTTAGAAGGGGCCCCCACCCTGTGATAGTGGTATAATCGGAATATAATAAGGCCCTAATATAGTCCTTATAGTCACGATTACAGGGTGGGGGCAGCTTCTATCTGACATCCCTAGAATCCCCAGAACCCTCGGCTGGCATCTCTTGACTCGCAGCCCTGGACCCAGGCCCTAAACACGAAGCTTTGGACCGCAAGCCCTAAAAGAAAGCATAAGACAGCCCTATAAAACAGACCCTGTAGCGAAGCCTAAATTTTACGAGCCTTGAGTGTTAAATCCTAAAACGAACCGTTAGCTATATAGGCCCCAAATCCAAGCCCGAAAATCAACCCTGAACTATGTAAGCCCTTAGCTTCAAACCCCAAATTGAAATATTCTACACCCCTGAACCACGAAACCCTAAACCCTAAATCCCTAAACACCTAAACCCCAAACCCCTGAGCTCTAAATCCCTAAACC